AAAAGAAAAAGTATGAGTTAAAGAGGAAAGTGTGTGTCAGGCCTCCGGTCCCGGAGTCTTCTTCCAATTTACATATGAAATACAAGGACTTCTCCCATTCCATATCCAATACTCTTAACTGCCCTTCCCCTCCTTCACCACCTGATACATACTGCCTCATTTATTTTAAGTCTCGACTATTTTGACACAATGTCAGCCATTCCCAAAGAAATCAACAGTCATCAAGCCTCAGGCCTTTCTCCAAACGCATCGTTCCAGTCCGCCTCATCCAGCCATGGAAACTCGGTTTTTACAAACCGCACGATCCCTCTGCCCAATGCCAAGCATTTGAAGCCATTTGCTACTGAGGATATCAAAGTTCTTCTTTTGGAGAATGTAAATCAAACGGGGCGAGATATTCTTACAAAGCAGGGCTATCAAGTAGAGTTTTTAAAGTCATCACTTCCTGAGGATCAGCTCATAGAAAAGATTCGGTGAGTCGAAGCCAGCATTGACATTCCATACTTTTGTATCGTGCACTAACTATTCTTTAAGAGATGTGCACGTCATCGGTATACGTTCGAAGACGAAGCTCTCAGCTCGTATTTTGAAAGAGGCTCGGAATCTTATAGTTGTCGGTTGTTTTTGTATTGGAACAAACCAAGTAGACCTCCAATATGCTGCAGAACACGGCATTGCTGTATTCAACTCTCCATTCAGCAACTCTCGAAGCGTTGCAGAGTTGGTTATTGCTGAGATTATTGCGTTAGCTCGGCAACTCGGTGACCGGTCTAATGAATTGCACAATGGCACTTGGAACAAAGTAAGCAACAAGTGCTGGGAGATACGTGGGAAGACATTGGGTATGTATTAAATTTCACCTCGGTAGGGGAACTCCACTAACTTTTGAGGATAGGTATAATAGGTTACGGCCATATTGGTTCCCAACTATCGGTTCTAGCAGAGGCCATGGGCATGTCTGTTCTTTACTATGATGTGGTGAATCTGATGGCATTGGGCACTGCTCGCCAGGTTCCCACTTTAGAGAGTCTACTTTCCCAGTCAGACTTCGTCACATGCCATGTGCCGGAACTTCCGGAAACAAAAAACATGATAGGACAACGCCAATTTGAACAAATGCGGGACGGCAGTTATTTGATTAATGCTAGTCGAGGAAGTGTCGTTGACATCCCGGCATTGATCCACGCGATGCGGTCCGGCAAGGTGGCTGGGGCCGCACTTGATGTTTACCCGAACGAGCCTGCTGGAAATGGTGACTATTTCAATAGCGACCTTAACAACTGGGCAGCGGATCTTCGCAGCCTTAAGAATGTGATTCTTACTCCTCACATTGGAGGTAGCACTGAAGAAGCACAGCGTGCAATTGGTGTTGAGGTGGGAGACGCTTTAGTGAGATATGTCAACGAAGGCACAACCTTAGGTGCCGTCAACCTTCCTGAAGTCGCCCTTCGTTCCTTGACTATGGATGAACCGGAACATGCTCGAGTATGTCAACTATCATTATATAGCAAGCCTCATGCAGTGGAAGTTATCGTTAATTCTTTGACTACAGGTGATTTACATCCATCAAAATATCCCTGGCGTCTTAAGGAAAGGTGTGTCTTACAAGTCCTGTACTTGTGTGTATATGGAACCCGGACTAATAATAATAGTGAATGAGATTCTCGGAGACCATAACGTTGACAAGCAAATGACCGATAGCAGAGGTGACGTGCGTTGTCAACTGCCTATACTCGGAGAATATCTCAACGTTAACTATGTATAGGTGGCCTACCTAATGGCTGATATCAGCGATGTTGATAACACTACTATCAAAGATCTATACGAGAGGCTTGAAAGCCTTTCATGTACGATTCCCTTATCCTCTAAATCAGCAATAATGCTAACTAGTTGCTTTAGCTCGGATCATGACACGTATATTATACTGAGGACATCTCGGCGTATGGAGGCCTCACACTATAATCAGTTATTAGTAGATTTTCGGTAGAACCGTCCCTCAACGGCCCAAGTCTACCATCTGCCAAACAAGAAAGTTATCGACTCCCATACTACCGCCGTGCTGGTTTGTGATTGAATGATTAAAACCTTGGTTATCGATATGTCAGGCGGTGTCCAGATAATAGAAACTCTAGGTATGCTGCTCACATTCGACTCATGATACTAATGCCTATGGAGAAATATTTGTTCAACACTTCGGCCTTATTGCGCCCTTTATCCTTTTAGTACCTTGAGCCTTGCCTTAAATTGAAATAGGCAAAATTGCCTTCAGACTTTCCATCCTCCAAATGCTAAATTCACAAAGTAGTAAAAGATCCCTAGAAGCTGCAATATGCCTAAGCAGCAATCGTATCAAATTCCCAGACACAACAGCGTTTGCAAGACCTGTCACTTTACAAGGGTTTGATAGGTGCGGCACATTGAAGCACAACCATATTGCATAAAGCCCTTTGTGCCTAATATAATACAATTGGCTATCAATCTACCTTCGATATAGATCCCTGTCTGCAGGCCGAGATCCCTCTCTAAAGCTTGGGCTTCGACTGCGCCTCGAAGGATTCTCCCTTGTATAATCTCGCCTATTGTTTAAATATGCATCTCGAGGCTGTTCCCCCACGCCATTATAAGTCGGAACATAAGAATCCACATTGCTGTCTGGCCGTCCAGCAAAACGACCTAAATGATTCCTGTCGCGCCCTACACGGCCGGCGTAGCTTGGTAGCCATCCCTGGTGAGAGGGCAGAGGAGGCTTTGGCGGCAGACCTCCTTCTTTGTGCCATGACGAAAGAGCCCGATGTGAATCATCCTGCTTTGCCCGACTCTGATATGGTTCATTGCCTCGATTATCAAAAGATCGTCGGGGGGCATTCCCTTGGTTGCCATGAGAGTTTGGCTTTCCAAAACGTGCAGCACCAGGTATGCGACTATTTCTGGAATCTGCCCCGGTCCGGGTTCCGGAATTGGAGCTCCAGCCGCCATTGGGGCCCATGCCCACGGAGCCTCCAGCAGGGGCTGGGGGCATAACTGCTCGCTGCCCTCGGAACCTTCTTCTATCAAATTCATGAGAGTCCTCGAAACGAGGAAGCTCGCCGGGGTGTGCAGGTAGGGGCTGGTTGGAGAAATAAGGGTGTTTCAACGCGTCGATAGCATTAATTCTTTTTCGCCAATCGAGTTTCAAGAGCTCACCTAATAACGATACGGCGGCTGGATCTTGCCTATCAATATGTCAACCTCCTTTTCCACAGTATGGTATGAGACGCTGTTAAGCTTGATTCTGAGGATGATGGATGCCCGTACTCTTTGAAGACCTCAGATAGATTCCCTGGCTTGCTGCCAAAGCTTTTCACACCTTCACAGCCTGGGAGCGAGCCCCAGCCAGGCATGTTCTCTTCAGAAGGTGTGCCCACAAGATTAAATATAAGCTGGGCTTGGTTGAGATCACTAGTGCCGGCAAGGATTGCTTGCCCTTGAACATTTCGCCGAAGACGCACCTGTCACCATCAGAAAGCAAGCCACAAGTATCAAACTGAGAAAATTACCCGACACCCCACATATCAATCGCAGTTGTATAGCGTCGTAGTTGAAGAAGGAGTTCTGGAGGGCGGTACCATCGTGTCACAACCAAAGTGGTATAGTCTCTTTTAGCTTCCCCTCCACCTTTCCCAGGCTGAGGAGGAGATTCATCATACGGTCGAGCTAGCCCGAAATCGGCAATCTGAAGAATACCTTTGTTGCTGATAAGTAGGTTGGCAGCTGTGCAAGAGTAAGTTACAGGGCCCTTTATTGCGCTGTGTAGGAACTGACCTTTCATATCACGATGCAATATTCGATTCTGTGTCAAGTTAGAAACAAGTTTTAGTAAAGTTTTATGAAAACGGTATTACCCCATGCAGATACTTGAGTCCTTCGAGGAGCTGCAGCATGTAGCATTTAATCTGAGGCTCAGTAAATTGCACAGCTGGGTTCTCTAAGAGCCCCGACAGGTCGTGTTCCATATAGGGAGTAACCATGTACATGCTCGGTTTCTTTCGGCCTTCCCCTGACCCAGGGTCAGCTCCTTGGAAAAGGAGAACGTGCAATCCTTCCTACCTTTGCTTCGTTCCACAGCCATTTCTCTTAACTGGAGAATATTACTGTGGGATAACATTTTCAAGAGTTTGATTTCACGGAGAGCAGTAATAGGGAACTTTATCGAGATGTATTAGCCCACAGCCTTGTTGCCCAGCAGGTAACCATCTTACCCCATCCTTCTCATTATGCATGAGGATCTTCTTTAGAGCGACGGTTGAGCCATCTCTTTTTGATCGCGCTTTGTAGACTTCACTAGCCAGAAGATTTAATATATTGACTTGCCTATAGAACGCGGGCACCTACCCAAACGTGCCTTCACCAAGTTTACCAAGGAACTCATACTCACGGATGCTAGTACACCCGCGAAATCGAGAGCTTCCGTTGCTATTCCGTTCGAGAGAAGCTACCACCATTTTTCTTCTAAGAGCGACAAACAATACTTATTTGTAGTGTATGGTGAATGGCCCGCCCCAACGAATGGCGATTGTTCTGTACCAAGAGGCTTGCGCAAGTTCAATTGCTGATGGTAGAATTCAGTGAGCCGAAAGTAGACTCGCAGTAAGTATGGCTTACCAGAACTATCAGGGTGATGCGCGACGCACAGGGGGTTGGGGACTGCTAATCATTAGGTCGGGTACGGAATGTAGGGTAGACGGTCTGTAGAGCGAGGCAGAGGTATATCGTATATCGGCAAACCGCGCAGCGGAAGTAACTATAACTAGATAGCACTAATCATAATAGTCCTCACACTTTAGCATTTGACGGGTGATAAGAGCTTGCATCCAGTCATAGTTATTGTTGTATTCGTAGAGGCATGGTCGCTAGATACCTTCAATGTATGTCGATCCGACCGGGAAAGGCTCCGGGTTCACGTGACTATACATCCGCACTCGGTGCTAATGGATCTCGCTGCCATTGATGGATTTCGCTCTTGCTGCTCCAAACATATTCCCATCGTTCCAATTGAAATTAGATCGTTGAGAATAAAAGAAGATCACCAAAGGTATCTCTAGATGATTTTCTTTCGCCGATGAAACTTGAACTGACTATATTATGTACAGATATGGCTGCGAATCATCCCATTCATATTCACCCAGCACGTCCCCTTTATCGCTTTACTGCTACGGCTTTGGGCGCTAGCATGTGGTTTTTTGTACGGGCCTAATCATAGATTCTCTTTTAATGAATGAGACTAACTATAGTTGCTGACAACTAGCTAATGTACCGAGCCAAGAAGGATGGCCCTGCTTTATTGGGATGGAAGCATCCGTGGGAACACTAAGTACTATAAACCAAATTAATTACAGAACAAGCTCGCGGGATTTGCATTAGACATTGTGAATCAATTGGCCGCCCTCGTTTCGTGATATTCTCCAGTTAGACAGAAATAGCGCGTACAGACATTACACATCTATTGCCCCTTGTTCAGTGTTATATAATTCTCGAAGTGGCAGTAGCCTAATTACGGCAGAGTCATCGACTAAGGAAGGTGTTTGGATATGGGCCGTAATGGTCGTGGCGCATGCTTTCTAAAACTAAAATTCTGTCGCTCTACCAAAATGGCGATGGCTTGATTTTTTGGACCATTTACTCTTGCATTTCCTCCAGTATCACCTTGTATTGACGGCGCTTTTTGTGATGGCCTGGCCGTAAGAGTGCGTAGGCTCGCCCTAAGGCCCGAGCAAGACTGGGGAATAGAGCACGCTCCGCAATGCAAGAGAAAATGAAGCTGCTCACGGCAAGTGCAAGCAGCGAAATAGCGAAATTCCCTGATAGAAAAGTCAATTGCATAACTTGCGTCACCCACCTAGAGGGCCTGAAGAGCATATAACATGAGATGATCAAGTCTACCACAACCACAGATATGAAGGCTCCTGATAACTGTTAGCAACAGATTCAAGTAGTAACAACGGTTACTAACTATTTGATCCCATAGGCTTCCGGAATGGAGGCCCCACGCTGAGAACAACACTTGCTAGCGTGTACTGAAAGCATGAGACTAGGAACAGGGCGGTGTTCTCCGAGTTCTCAATATTACTATTATCCAAATCAACCTCTGGGGGTTTGAACCTGTAGTTAGGATTAGGATGTATTTCTCAACTTGTACCGTTCGAAGTTACCCCAAATATCAACATACCATGGCTGTGTCTGAATGGCTTTGTAGGCCACAAGCTGAACCAGTATACAAATTAACATTTGGCCGAGTAATGGCGTCAGCACCTTTCGCGAGACAAGATCGGCAGTTGGGCGTTTTCGGGAGAGTACGGGATAGGGGCCGGTCCATCCCACTTTAAAAGATAGGTCAGCGCGAACAATATTGTAATCTCCTTTTATCGTTCTTGTGGTGTCCAAGTTAAGCAGTTTCACATACTAAAAATTGCGATTGGTAATATGAGCACCAGATCTATGAACAGAAACTAAAATAAGTCAGTAATTATCATACACAAGACCCATTCCTTTGATACGTACTTGAAAATCACCCAAGTTTGATGCTGACGTGTACAGGAAACTGACAGTGGAAAATTGAATAGCAGAGTAGAGACTCATATATTTGAAGCAGCAAAAGCTTGTAACTAGGGCGGCTCTCCCTTCTCTGTGATCTAGTTAACAGAAACGGCTATTTCACTCGAGAGGTTGGAATATACCTAATCAATGTTGGCACGCAGGATACATCAAATTGGCGACTTGTGAATGGAGCAGCCACAGATGCCTCAGCATCAGAAAGCGATATCCCAACATCTGCAGCTTTCAACGCGCCACAGTCATTAGCACCATCACCACAAAACCCACAGCAATAATCAAGTGACTGAAGTTTCTCCACAAGTTCGTGTTTTTCGTCAGGTGACATTCTAGCGAACACTTTCGTACGCACAAGCATCTGGATTCAAGTGAGCTGATGTCTATATAAGGAACCCAACTGAGAGTGTCATGCTTGGCAAACGAAAGATGTGCATACTCGCTGAAGTATAGTCTCATCGCCGAAGTCCAAGACCCATCTAAATACTTCTCCGCTGACCGCAAGCGAGAAATTGCGTATATTGAAGACGTTGACAGGTATAGACAAGTCCAAATCCGTTGAAGTCCCAGAAGGCTATCACTTGTCAGTTCCATTTTGTATAGAATAGAGGGAATGTCACACCATCAGTGTGTTTGGATCAAGCTTCAATGCTGGATTATCTACATTCTCCCAGCAAAGTGAAGATGTCAGATCATGGGGACGACCTGCGTGGAATTAGCCTAGATGGGCAGAGCAAGCAGTATAACTAACCTTCTACAATGTGCGGTATAAAGCATTGCTCGCTTTTCCTGACCATTCCACACTCACGAGCGACACTAACTGCAGTAAGTATATTATCTCCAGTGCACATGACATTCCGTATTCCTGCTTGGTTCAGTTCAGCAATAGTCTCAGTAGTTGTTGGTTTCAGCTTGTTTTCAAATATAATGAAGCCAATGAATTCCAGATCACTTTCTGCATCTCCACGAGTCATTTTTTGCACTTTCATCCAACTCAACTTTTGTTCGTATCTGGCGGCGCAGGCAATAACCCGATAGCCTTTGTGGGTGTACTGGCTCAGTATATCTTCAAAGTCTTGAGGCACTATTATAGTTGCGCTGAATGTTAGCGTCATGCCTTGTGTTCGTGTCCCATTGGAAGTACTGACGACTGTCGGGAAGGCATATGGCTCTGACGCTTTCTGGTGCACCCTTGACGAAGACGCTAGCACCATTGTCACCAAATTGCCTTACAATAACGCTCGCGCGTCGAAGTTCAGAGACAAATTCAAAATTCCGTAAAATACCAAGTTCAAGTGGTGCCTTTATCATTCTGATATCAGTATTCGCAATAATATGCATTTCAAAGCGAAGAGGACGATCTAGTACAGGAAAGGCATACTTACAGTGAAATTGCTCTGACGAAGATTCTCTGAAAGGGCAGGTGGCTTTGCAATGGACGGCATTATTGTTTCAAATTTGGAATCTGGCTGTTCAGGACCATGGCTGCCGCCTTCCTGGTAAGACCAGCCAGTAAATTGAAACATTTTCACGTCGAGAGGGTCACCTAGAAGCTCGCCGTCCACAATTCTCAACGAGTGGCAGGTGGCCATGATGTAGGTTAAAACATCACGCTTCTTGTGGTCGTAAGAAGTATCAAATGCTGAAGCTGCGGGAGACCCTAGAGTCACGTCCGAGAGCAAGTCTGATAGCCTTATATTAGTTAGCTATAGCCGAAATATGAGTGGCTGAGTATGACAAACCTCATTTCTCGATTTACAGTCCGCACCCCAAGAACATCCAATCCATCTTCCGTTAAGGTTCCTGTTTTGTCAAAACAAATCACGTCTAATTTACCGCCCACATTTACCCTAGAGACCAGCTTAGCGCAGCTAGGGGGGGCACTCAGAAACATAATACTCACTTCTGTGGACTAATGCAAAAAATGTTTTGATTTTTCAACCGTGAAAGTGCAAAGTTCGTACCAATTGTCAGCGTAGCAGGCAAAGCAGGTGGAACAATGATTGTTATCAGATCGAGTGCTCTGACAATGATCAAATGCCAGGAGAGCTAGGTAAAGTTAGCTTGTTCCGGAATGGTCTCTGGATACTTACACCTAGTCGGATAAAGTTGAAAAAGGAGGCTACAAATCCTAGAATAGCGACCATTGCCATAACAGATATGTAACGGAATGAATCTCGATAGAATTTGAAGCCAGAGGGCTTTGGGAAAAGCATGGAGCGAACTAACGCGCCTTTGGTTGTCAAAAACCCCGTTCGGACAACAATTGCTAGAGCAATGGCATCGTCGTCATCAACATTATGAGGGCGCCGTGCTCGAATGACCTTGGTTCCACCGAAAAGAAAATGTTTTGCTATGTTTGGATGGACAGAGGGGGCGTTGAGATTAAGATACTTAAGTGCATCGTCCGTTAATGGGGTTTTGGACACAGGAACAGATTCACCTGGTCCTGTCAGCGCCTCCTATCAAAACGTGAACATAATATATGGGCAGACCTGTGAGCATGCTCTCATTTACGATGCAGTCACCTGACAGTAAGATACAGTCGCATGGGACTTGGCTAAGCGATGGGTCGGAGAATTCGAATACATCACCCGGAACAAGTTCTCGAGAGGGAACAGACCTCCCTGTCGCGTAAGTCAGCAACTGACCAACAAGGTGTCATAAAAGACTAATTGTGAAGACACAAACTCACAAAAACCATTCCTAAGCACACGGATATCACACTCGAACAAAGAAATCTCCCTCAGCCGACTCATAGTCTGAATGGTGTTAAGGAATTACACGTGTTGTCAAGACAGAGGCAGTGACTCACAGACTTGGTCTCAATTACTGTTGCACCAATGCTGAAGACAGAGATAAAGAATATACAAACAGCATAATAGTAATATTCATCCAAAGACCAAAGAACGAGGCTTGCAAGTTGGAAGATATAAAATGGGTGGAAGGCCTTTATTGGTAAGAATTTCCCTTCGAGATAATGCGATCGGGGCCTCATTACTTACTTCATCCATGAGAAGCTGAAACAATGGTTTCTGCTGAATGTCAACAAGATTCTTGCCGAAGATTTGCTCTCGACTATCACGATCATCGGCATCTAGTCCGCTTCGCATCACTTTCGCATTTGTCCACAAAGGGTCTTTCCAACCGCTTATGAGACAGAACTTGTCTTCCAAAGGATGGTAAAAGAACCGAAGGTACCTAAAGTCAATGTAACATAAGAACGAGATGGTGGGGTCATTTTCTTCATCATAGGAATGGCTGTCTGGGTCTGCAAATACGCTGGAAAGTGGACGCCCATAAGCTTGACTGCGAACCTGGCATACGCTGAATTGATTCCATTGGTCCTGTAAAGTGTTAGGTAGAGCGAGAACCATCTAGAATAATAGTTACTCACCTCAATGGCAACCCATTGACAAATGCGAAGTGGCGTGGGTTTCCCTGTCAATCGCACACGCCATCTTGGAAACCATCGAAAAACGAGATAAGCGAAGCCAAGGGACAGGACACATGACAGAGAGTATAGAACTAAGCCAGAGAATCTGTTTGAAAACCCGGCGATCACAAACGTTAAATCCTCTGATTCAATATATATTTTCTGGTTGAGCCTGCTATCAAATCGTCGGTCCTGCGTATACGAACTAGCAGAAAGACGCCGGCCGGGGAGGAGGGGGTCTTCAGCGGAACCTCTAGAATATGACGGTCGCTTTGACCTGAATGACGATCTAACAGATCTATTTGGCGGACTAACATCACCTACGACCAAATTATCGGCTTCGCTCTCAGCGTCCACAGCATCTTCATCTGGCCACTCGACAAAGTCCTCTTCATCACGAAAGTACGTAAAACTGACCACCGAGTCCTTCCGGTTGCGACGATGGGAGAAAGAAACGACACTTGATGGAATGCTTTCTGAGATGGGCCCATCAAAAACCTACTCAATATTGGTTATGCCTGACATATAAGTAGATATATATTTTCTGGGAAACAAACGCACCTCGTGGCGGGCCATCTCTACATCAGAGACAACGCTATAACTATGAACGTATCAGCAATGCCCACAACACCGTTCTTCAGCTTGGTTTTTGAGACCTGCTTCGCATGGAGTCACGTCGGTGGCTAATCATAGACTGCGAGAGCTCAGGCACCTGAGGCTCCGTTGGCGACAGCGTCGACTCATTCACTGTCTCATACATCTTCACGATCGGCTCCAGAAGCTCTCTGGACGTCCCTCGAAGTAACGGGGAAAGGAAGGAGAGAGAAAGGAAATAAAAGCAGGACTTATGATAGCATCAGTGGACGACAGGTACAATTGTAGCTAATGTGTTTCGGGTTCTAGTTTCATGAACTGTGTGGAACCCGTCAATAGAAGGTATGACTACCCCCAAGCCAAGAGTGATCTATGGCGTTGCATTTCTATCAGCACGTGACTGGATATATAGTACTAACTCCGATTATGGTTTTCCTTATCAGTCCCGATTTGATGACACAGGATTAACGATTGATCTTCATGAAATCAAGGTACTCTGGATACTCAGAAAGACATGATGAAAATTTGAACCACATTAATCGTTTTCATCAGAGCGATCCTATACTAGCATGCTGATATGACTGAAACTGGGGGCAATGACCTCCGGAGGTATTATGCGGAGCGACGATGGTATCGATGGTGGTTTCTGTACGTAATACTCAGTATCAATCTAGACCAGGGATACTAAAGTAAACCCAGTCAGCCTGCTTACTACAGAGTACTTTTTACAAGATGTTGCACCACAAAATACTGTATCTAGCTACCTGTCTAATTCTATAAAGAAATATATCATCTCACTTAATGCAATTTCATGATGAGTCAAGGCTTATGACCGTGTTAATCAATGGAGATTTAAATAGCAAGCCTGAAGGTAAAAAATATGTTGATAGTGAATCTATCTGGGTACGTTAGATACAATAATACATTCATATTGTATGTATGGAGTAGTCTACCGGTATCTGCGGGGACTTCTACCTGGTATTAGTAGTACACATTCCGAGCTATCCAACTGTTTACAGTTGTTGTTACAGTAAGGTATTGTTGGGAGGGTTCCAAAGGTTCTCAACCAGCAGAGGTCTCAGTCCCGCCAAGCCCCTCGGCCCAAGGGCGCTAAAGATCCCACCAAGCCAGTATTCCAGACTCCCAAAACTTAGGCGTATCAAATTCTTCCTCATCTCCTTCATCAGCGACAACCCCTCAGCCAACCTCCCTTATCTTTCTCGACCCATCTATAAGCCTGCTGAAAACATCCTCACAATGTCTGAGCCTATTAGAAATAAGAAAGCGGATTTTCCGGTCGCCCCGTAAGTCTCTTTTGCGTTGATTAACCCCATATTCTCTGCAGAGATACATCTACCCAGTTGGACACGTCTTGCCTTCTAACGATATTTCGAGAATAGGACGCCTCAAAACACCCCAGCTAATAATGCCCCTATTTCCTCCCATGCCCAGCAGCCCGGAGTCTCCAGCATTAAAGAAGGTATTCACTCGACCATTCTCCTTGCTAGCCAACTGTCCCTAACATCATCACCCTAGAATCCCTTGATCATGCCACAGCTGCTTCTTTATTCGCGAGGAACCCTGGGCTTGTCTCCATGATTCAAGGAAAACTGGGATCACTTGTCGGCCGCTCTTCCGGATATATTGAGTCTCTGCCCGCACCTGTCCGTCGACGTGTCGCTGGTCTGAAAGGTATCCAGAAGGAACACGCTAAGCTGGAAGCCCAATTCCAAGAAGAGGTGTTGGAGCTCGAAAAAAAGTACTTTGCAAAATTTACTCCTCTGTATCAAAGGCGTGCCACAATTGTCAATGGGGCTGCAGAACCGACCGATGGTGAAGTTGACGCGGGCAAGGGCGAGGAAGAAGATGTAGAAGTTAAGAACGAAGATGAGTCTAAGAAGTCCGAGGACAAGGTGTCATCAACAGCCGGAATACCAGAGTTCTGGCTTTCTGCTATGAAAAATCAAATTTCCCTGGCAGAGATGGTGACTGAACGAGACGAAGAGGCTCTCAGGCACCTCACCGATATCCGAATGGAATATCTTGATCGCCCAGGATTTCGCCTGATTTTCGAATTCTCCGAGAATTCGTTCTTCACAAACAAGACTATCTCAAAAACGTACTATTACAAGGAAGAGAACGGGTACGGTGGTGATTTCATCTATGATCATGCTGAGGGCACCAAGATCGATTGGAAAGATGACAAGGACCTTACTGTCCGTATCGAAAGTAAAAAGCAGAGAAACAAGAGTGAGTTCGATCTCGTGCAAAGAGAAAGTCATGAAGCTAATGTCTTGATTTTCCAGACACAAAACAAACTCGCGTTGTCAAGATAACCGTGCCCACGGAGTCTTTCTTTAATTTCTTTTCTCCCCCACAACCCCCAACGGACGACGATGATACTGTCGCTACCGACATTGAAGAGCGGCTTGAGCTTGACTACCAGCTTGGAGAGGATATCAAGGAAAAGCTCATTCCTCGCGCAATCGATTGGTTTACTGGGGAAGCCCTTCAGTTCGAAGATTGGGTGATGATATGGACCCAGATGATTTTGACGACGACGACGAGGATGAGGACGAGGATGAAGATGACGACGACGAGGACGACGACAGGAGGTCTGATGGGGATGTTGATGACGATTCTGATGAAGAGGTACCCCCCCCCCCCCCCCGCCCCAAACATCTACGTGTGATGTATGAATGCTGACTTGAAACAGGATGGTACTTCGAAGCCCAAGAAGGAGGCCGCAGAATGCAAACAAAGCTAAACAGTCAGCTAATTGTTGAAAGCGCAAACTCGAATAGTGCTATAATCATTTCCACTTGACTTCTGGTGCCTGATTTTCTTCTTTTGTTTCCCTCAGATTGTTTCTTCTAATCATGCGTGGCTCCTGATCCATTCAATAGCGGTCCACTGTATGTATGGTCAAATTTTTATGTGTAACCCATGCATACTTCACCATTAGATTGGTGGACATGTAGTGGATGGTAAAGCTCGTTGGATGGAACCATCAAGGCAGTCTCGGTCCTTAATCATTCTTCTTTCTCATCGCCCTCCAAGCTCCTCTTTCAATCACTTCCTTTCCTCTTCCCCTTTTCCTCCTTTTTTCTTTAATACTGTTTTTCCGTCTTACCATATAAAATGCTGGCGGCGCGAGGAGTACTCTTCCGTTCAATAATCTACACTTGTTTCAAAACCATCTGCCTATGCTTTGAAGATGTGTATTATGGCAGCACATGGTAAAAGAGAATATTAATCATATGCGTTTGTCGTAGGATTATCTAGTAGTCGATTTCTATAACATGTCGAAGCTTTTGCTATAAACTGATGAATCTGATCTCACCGCTTATTCAGAATTGGCTGGTTTTTCCCACGTAGCCAAACTCCACTCATGGGGCCCTAGGTCAGCTAGCACCTCAATAGGCAGTCGACCTTCACATCACGAGGCTATGCTGTTATTGGGGCTTAAGCAAATTACGAGTAAAAGGGGAATCTAAAGTCGGTGGGGGCAGTGTGTCGTAAATTCTTTGTGTATATAGACCTCCAAACCTCTATGGATGTCTAGATGACCACAGAGCTACGGGCGTCATGATTAGTGATAAATGCTACTAGTACCTGTCCAGAATACCTCTCCGGCCATGCGTGATTCTTGGCGTTGACAAGTGTGGAGATTGTTTTCGACGAGTGGCGCGGTTCTCCAGCCTCAGGGGTCGCGGCTCGCTAACGGCCAGCTGTTAGCCAGTTCAATAACTCCCCTCCTCTCTAAAGCGTTAAAACTCCGTTCTTTTCCCATGTTTTGAAGTTCAGGCCTGTCGGTGGTGTCATAAGGCGAATATATTCCGCTTTTTCATTTTCCATAATCCTTTTCCACATCAAAATATTAATCGGGTATTCATTTAATGATTCGCTGCTAGATGCCTACAGCAGTGCTCGCTCGGTTTCAGATACATTCCACATAGGTTCTGCTTTGGTCTCATTTCAACTTAGGCTACAGATTTCCTGGCCAACGCAGTCTTGATGGCGCACAATTATGAGGTCGGAACGAGGGCCTGGCAGCCTGATCCGACTGAAGGATGGGTAGCATCCGAGGTCAAAGAGAAGTTTGTTGATGGTGACAAAGTGCAGCTTGTTTTTATACTGGAAAATGGGGAGGTTCGTCTCATCTCTGCCATACATTCCATCTCCATTGGGCCACTCGACTGACTGGGTTATATAATTAAAGACAAAATCTTTGGAGACCACGCAAGCAGAGTTACAGGTGGATAACAATCCTAAGCTACCTCCGTTAATGAACCCCGCCATGTTGGAGGCCAGCGAAGACCTGACGAATCTATCACATTTGAATGAGCCAGCTGGTTTGTTTCATACTCCCAATATTCCCACGGGGGTGAGGGGCTAATTACCCTGAAGTCTTGCAGGCCATCAAACTACGGTATGCGCAAAAGGAAATATATACTTATAGTGGCATTGTTTTGATCGCCACTAATCCTTTTGCTCGAGTGGATTCACTATATGTTCCTCAAATGGTGCAAGTTTATGCCGGCAAACACCGTGCATCACAGGCGCCTCATCTATTCGCCATCGCTGAAGAGGCATTTGCGTAAGATACGACCCACCCCTCTTGATATATCCTGTTACTCACAAGCACGCGATTCAGTGACATGTTGCGAGATGCTAAAAACCAGACAATTGTGGTTTCCGGAGAGTCTGGTGCTGGAAAGACGGTTAGCGCCAAGTACATTATGCGATATTTCGCAACTCGCGAATCCTCGGACCAACCCGGGAAATACACCACGAGTAGGGCAGATGCTATTAGCGAGACTGAGGAGCAGATCCTGGCTACAAATCCTGTTATGGAAGCCTTCGGAAATGCCAAGACAACGCGCAACGATAACTCTTCACGATTCGGGAAGTACATTGAGATAATGTTCGATGATAGGACCAATATCATCGGTGCTAAGATCAGGACGTACCTTTTAGAGAGATCCCGTTTAGTATTTCAGCCTCTCAAAGAACGCAACTATCATATCTTTTATCAGCTTGTGGCTGGTGCAACAGACGCAGAAAAGCAAGAGCTTGGTCTTGCGTCGGTTGAGGACTTCGACTATCTCAACCAAGGCGGGACGCCCACTATTGATGGCGTGGATGACAAGGCGGAATTCAATGCGACAAGGAAATCCTTAAGTACTATCGGTGTGTCAGAAGATACGCAGGCCGAAATCTTTCGCATCCTTGCAGCTCTCCTGCACCTAGGTAATGTTAAAATTACCGCCACTCGAACCGATTCTTCCTTATCTCCCTCTGAGCCCTCCCTTGCCAGGGCCTGCAGCATGCTGGGCATTGACGTCAATGAGTTTGCGAAATGGATAGTCAAGAAGCAACTTATAACAAGAGGGGAGAAAATTACATCTAACTTGACACAACAACAGGCGACAGTTGTCCGTGATTCGGTGGCAAAATTTATATATTCAAGTCTCTTTGATTGGCTTGTCGACAAAATTAATCGCGGTCTAGCATCCGATGAAGTTCTGAACAAATTCAAATCTTTCATCGGTGTCCTGGATATATATGGGTTCGAGCACTTTGCCAAAAATTCGTTCGAGCAGTTTTGCATCAACTACGCCAATGAGAAGCTGCAGCAAGAGTTCAATCAGCACGTGTTCAAATTGGAACAAGAGGAATATGTTCGAGAGCAAATCGACTGGACCTTCATTGATTTTTCAGACAATCAACCATGCATTGATCTAATTGAGGCAAAACTGGGGATCTTATCCCTTTTGGATGAGGAGTCTCGGCTGCCGATGGGTTCTGATGAACAGTTTGTGACAAAATTGCATCATAATTTTGCAGCGGACAAGCAAAAGTTCTACAAAAAGCCACGGTTCGGGAAGTCGGCGTTCACCATATGTCACTATGCTGTGGATGTAACTTACGAATCAGATGGCTTTATAGAGAAGAATAGGGATACTGTCCCGGATGAACACATGGATGTTTTACGCAACTCCTCAAATCAATTCGTGAAAGATATATTAGATACCGCCGCCGCCGTCCGCGAAAAGGACTCTGCATCAATCTCATCTAAACCAGTCGCTGCGCCAGGCCGTAAAATTGGCGTTGCCGTCAACCGCAAACCTACACTTGGAGGGATCTTCAAATCATCGCTGATTGAGCTGATGAACACCATAAATTCCACGGATGTGCACTATATACGCTGTATCAAGCCTAACGAAGCGAAAGAAGCTTGGAAGTTTGAAGGTCCCATGGTCCTCAGTCAATTGAGAGCCTGTGGTGTGCTCGAAACAGTCCGTATCAGTACTGCTGGATATCCTACTCGCTGGACTTACGAAGAATTTGCGATACGCTACTATATGCTGTGTCATTCATCCCAGTGGACATCTGAAATCCGAGAAATGTGCCATGCAATCCTGCAAAAAGCCTTAGTAGATGGCAGCAGCCAAAAGCAAGATAAATACCAGCTAGGTTTGACGAAGATATTCTTCCGGGCAGGTATGCTCGCTTTCCTGGAAAATCTTCGTACGTCCAGATTGAATGAGTGTGCAATCATGATACAAAAGAATCTGCGGTGCAAGTACTATCGACGCCGTTATCTCGAGGCGCGCTCTTCTATTCTTACAACTCAAGCCTTGATCAGGGGGTTTTTAGCAAGGCAGCATGCGGCCGAGGTGCGCAAGGTCAAAGCTGCAACTTCTATTCAACGGGTGTGGCGGGGACACAGGGAAAGGAAAAAGTATAACATTATCCGTGCAAACTTCATATTGTTTCAATCGGTTGCGAAGGGCTTCCTCTGCCGGCAAAATATAATGGATACGATACATGGAAATGCTGCCAAAGTTATACAACGTGCTTTCCGCTCCTGGCGTCAATTACGAGCTTGGCGGCAGTATCGCCGAAAAGTAGTCACTGTGCAGAACCTTTGGAGAGGCAAGCAAGCGAGAAGACAATACAAAAAGCTCCGCGAGGATGCAAGGGACCTGAAGCAGATTTCTTACAAGCTGGAGAATAAGGTGGTAGAGTTAACTCAATACCTTGAGTCTCTTAAACGTGAGAATAAGTCATTGAATCTGCAGTTAGAAAACTATGAAACTCAGTTGAAGTCATGGAGGAGTCGTCACAATGCCCTGGAGAATCGCTCTAGGGAGCTTCAGGCTGAGGCAAATCAGGCAGGAATCAACGCTGCTCGGCTGTCTGCCATGGAAGAAGAAATGAGTCGGCTGCAGCAAAATCACAGCGAAGCACAAACGACAATCAAGCGGCTGCAGGAGGAAGAAAGAGCGTCACGGGAATCTATTCGTTCTGCAAATGAGGAGTTGCAGCGGCTTAAACAAATGAACACCGAGTCGGATGATGAGAAAGCTTCCCTCCGTCAACAGATCGCTGACCTTGAAGAGCAGCTAGAGCTTGCGAAGAGGACCTTACCTAGTGGTGGCTTGAACAGCGATCAACCAAACGGCAGCGCCATCCCACCACCTGCCAGTGGATTGATTAACCTAGTATCCTCAAAGAAGACAAAGCCAAAAAGACGCAGCGCCGGTGCGGAGAGGATAGACACAGATCGTTTTAGCGGTGCTTACAACCCACGCCCGGTCTCCATGGCTATTCCCAGCTCCTTAATGCGTCAGAACCTATCAGGGAGCACTTTCTCACCTGGACTGGACTCCGTCGAGGTGGAACTTGAAAACTTACTTTCTGAAGAGGATGAACTCAACGAGGAGGTTACTATGGGTTTAATACGCAATTTAAAGATTCCGCTCCCTAGTTCTACTCCACCACCAACCGAAAAAGAAGTTTTATTCCCTGCTTATTTGATAAACCTTGTCACTTCTGAAATGTGGAACAACGGCTTTGTGAAAGAATCCGAACGGTTTCTGGCGAATGTGATGCAGTCGATTCAACAAGAGGTCATGCAACATGATGGAGATGATGCTATAAACCCCGGAGCCTTTTGGCTATCTAATGTGCATGAAATGCTTTCTTTTGTGTTCCTGGCTGAGGATTGGTACGAAGCACAAAAAACTGACAATTACGAGTACGATCGGCTGCTAGAGATTGTAAAGCACGATTTGGAAAGCCTGGAGTTCAACATCTATCATACCTGGATGAAAGTGTTGAAAAAGAAGCTTTATAAAATGATCGTTCCTGCGATCATCGAGTCCCAATCACTTCCTGGCTTTGTCACAAGTGAAACCAATCGTTTTCTTGGGAAGCTTCTTCCTTCCAACAACAACCCAGCCTACAGTATGGACAATCTTCTTAGCCTTCTGAACAATGTCTACAAGGCAATGAAGGCTTTTTACCTCGAGGATTCGATCGTCACTCAGACTGTCACCGAACTCCTTCGTCTGGTTGGCGTCACCGCTTTCAATGACCTTCTCATGAGGAGGAATTTCTTGTCCTGGAAGCGTGGCCTCCAAATAAATTACAATATAACTCGTATTGAGGAATGGTGTAAAAGCCATGATATGCCGGAAGGGACATTGCAGCTTGAGCACTTGATGGTAAGATGATATTTCAAATATATAATTTGCTCCCTATATTAACTCCCTCTCAGCAAGCGACCAAACTTCTTCAGTTAAAAAAGGCCACGCTAAACGACATTGAGATTATCCAAGATATCTGTTGGATGTAAGGCCCCATGCCTGCTTTAGCCCCATTATCAAAGTCATATGGACGACTAATATATTCATATACAGGCTTTCCCCGAATCAGATTCAGAAGCTCCTGAATCAATACCTAGTGGCGGATTATGAGCAGCCGATTAATGGCGAAATCATGAAAGCTGTGGCCTCGCGTGTCACGGAGAAGAGCGATGTATTGCTTCTGACGCCTGTGGATATGGAGGATAGTGGTCCGTACGAGATTGCCGAACCTCGTGTTATCACAGCCCTAGAGACATACACACCGTCATGTAAGTTTCATATGTGACAACGCTGCCCGATATTCACTGACCTGTTTGAAGGGCTGCAAACACCGCGACTAAAACGTCTAGCTGAGATTGTCTCGGCTCAGGCGATGGCTCAGCAAGAGAGGCTTGAAATGGCGGAGATAGCATAATATCTTTCATACTTCACTGTAGTACGAAGGTAGGCCCACTGCCAATGCTGTCTTTTTGGTCAAGTAAGAACAAGACTCTACTGAGTATACCGCTTAGAAGGAGTCGTCTTGTCGTCATTTCCTAGAGTTACGGATCATGATGAGATTATGCATTTCTTTTCCCTTTAAACAGCGCTGATCTACAACTGGATACGAGAAGACACCTTCCCACCATTGTCCTTTTTCTGTTTTTGGGGGTATAGGACATAGGCCACACCTGTACCTTGTTTTGGATTCTCTATTTAGATTTTTCTTTCTATTTGAGTCTCACTTGTGAATACGAATCTGAGCATGAGGTCCATCTACCTCACGGAAGACATGCACACTCTCGATCCGTAGTAATCATGTGGCACCACGCTAGTGGGGTAGTGGGGAAGCAATTCTTGCCATATCAAACTTCTCTCTAACGTGAACCTCATCCTATTTGTAAATGTGTTGATTAACAAGGAGGGTATACTATTCTGTCTTAGCCTCCTTTCCTATATGTTTCCCTGAGCCCCTTAAACAGCAAATCAAACTTGGCGGCGCAGACACGATGACTATATTAAAGAAATTGAATTTCATCACTAGCAACAAGAACAAACTGGCCGAGGTTAGAGCGATTCTAGGCAATGCAATCGAGGTCGATAACCAGGGGCTTGACGTTCCAGAGATACAAGGTACTATTGAAGAAATTGCCAGAGAAAAGTGCAGGCGTGCAGCGGAAGTGGTAAACATGGTGATAATTTTTCCATCTCGCCTACGGTGCTAATATTGCCCGAATAGATCAAAGGCCCTGTTCTCACGGAGGACACGGCACTTGAGTTCCATGCCTTGAAAGGGCTCCCTGGCCCATACATGTAGGCCTTACTAGGGCAAAAAAAAATTGCTTTTTGTACTGACATCCCCTAAGCAAGTCATTCCTTGATGTTCTGGGCCACGAGGGGTTGAATAAAATGCTCGATTCGTTCGAGGATAAATCGGCAGATGCGATATGTACGTTCGCTTTCTGTCACGGCCCCGGATCAGAGCCAATTCTATTTCAGGGGAGAACAAAGGTAATTGATGATGATGCAAATTTTTAGGACTTTCGAAACCTAACCTCAACTTTTAGGGTATAATTGTCAGACCAAGAGGTCCATCAAACTTTGGTACGCAGAATATCTCCCTGCTACGTCCGGAATCTCCAGCTTATGTGGCTTCTTTAGGTTGGGATCCGATTTTCGAATATGAAGGGAAAACATATGCTGAAATGGACAAGGAGGAGAAGGTAATTCCCGAGTTTGCGTTCCAACCTCTATCTTTATTGCCTTTTCTCCCGATCCATGATCTTTCCCCCATGTGGCCCCTCCGTCCTTGACTTCCTCGCTAACCACAGCTAGAACCAAATATCCCACAGGTATAAAGCTTTGGAGAAACTACAGTGTTGGTTGGTCCAGGAAAATTCCTGATTTCTCGGTCCTGCGGCGGATGACGTTGATAGGCGGTGCATCTCTGGAATATTTCAATTCGTATTGAGGTTTTGGTTGATCCTCCACGAGGATACCCAATTTGAAATTCTTGCGCAGTTTTCCTCTACATCGTCGTCCTTTTCACTAGTTAGCTCGACCACAACTTCTTCGTCGAAGGCTTCACGGGCTTCTTCCGATAGGCACCGAAAATCTCCGCGTCTAAATTTTCTTGTAGCTTTGCTTGCTTATATCCCCTGTAACAGATGAAATCTTATTAGGCTTGCTGAAAAGAGAGGGAGGTTGGAGGGATTCGCCTATAAATACCTTGATGAAAGACGATCATATAGCAGAGATGTAGATGGGCATCGCAAAACCACAATGAGGTCAATCCAAGATTTAGGGAATAGGTCGCATGCATGCCAGTCAATCAAGAGCCCCCCTTGGAGCATTTCGTCTTCAACAGCATCCAGCAGCTATATTGACCAGACCAGGTAAGTAGAGGGAAAAATTAACTTTCAATCTGAGATAAATACTATTCGGTTGGAACTTCTAGGGAGAGAGCGTGTATACTCAGCGTACCTTATCCTCATCCACAATCCAGGTTTCTAACTCCTCGTCATAAGTCTCGAAGCAATCACGATCTTTTGCAACCTGATTGATTGACAGATGTCGCAGACCGGTATCTTGCGCTAGTTGTTCGCAGTGGACAGTTTTCCCAACACCGGGGGTTCCTGTGATGATCACATTCGGAGATGTTCGCATGATGACCCTAGGCAGACTTCTGGGTGACCGAAACTTCCAATTATCTTCCTGTGAAACGTGAGTATAGTCATGCAGAACATGATGGCAATGGATAAATTTTACGTGGGGTATATACACCAACACCTCAGGCACCTGTTTTCGGGCGGGAAAAGTGGGCCCGACCCGACGGGCACCATGCATTTATATACAGTACATATAATATCATCAGAGGCCGGTTAGCGCTATACCCAAACCATGTTTCTATCTAGCTTTGAATAAAACCATCCCATATTCCCCATCAAAGACTCAATCAATATCCAAGCCAAGGCGAGCACTTATTTTTTCTTTGGACCACCTTTCTTCTTACATTCAGCTTTGCCTCTATCTCTGCAGCCTGCTGCTTGGCTAGCTCTGCCTTTTCTTCTTTCTCAGCTCACAATCATGAGTCGCTTGGAGAATAGTCTTTTTTTGTGGGGTTTTCTTCTCTTCCTGACTCCTATTTTTGCATGAGTAAAAAGCCAGACCATCAACAAAGGCACAAGCAGACCCATGTCACCAGTAGGCCAGTTGCCCTAACCGCATAGGCGGCGTCGCAAGAGCTGCAAGTAGATGGCTAAACCATGTCAGAGTCAAAAGCAAATTTTGGTATCCAGATGACCAAATATCCTCTCCACAAGTAGAATTCGATAGAATGATGATGTTCACTTCTCCTGCTGCTGCTGCTGCTGCTACTACTTCTACTCCTCTACTGAATACTCGGAGGTCTGCAATTATACCTTGTGAGCTTCACTTTCATTACGTTATCTCTCTCTCTCTCGATGGACCATTCTCCCTGTAGGAGAAATTGATAGTCCCAGAAAAAAGCCTATAACTTTATAAAGATCTAGTCTTGGGAGGTAGACAGCCTGAAAGGGTCAGGCGATGTTTAGCAAAGGAAGCGGACTGTGACTTACTTGAGGACTTCAAAGATTTTATATTTCTGTAAATAATCTGTTCCTCGTCGGTAGCCCTTTAGGATCCGAGCGGGATCAGCAGATGCTGTGCGCATACCTCTGAGCCGCTTCACAGCAGACGATGGCTTGAACATTGGGTCCAAGACCAAGAGATTCGCACTGCCATTATCACGTATCTCGAATCCAATAATGGTCAATGAGTGCCCTGGTTGTGATGGCATAGCGGTAAGCTTCAGACACAAGGTCAACAAGTAGAGGTTAGTGACAGAGAGGAACGCTTCAGACCTTGATGTTGGAAGTAAATCGGTGGTAAGTTTGTCAAAAACACTTTGTCATTTGTATCCAAGCAGCACGTCTGTCGGAAGTAGTTCGCAATGCACATGAACAAAGCGTCATGAGCCTGCATATCCTTGGTTCCTCCGATACTACTGGCTTCGCATCTTATACAAATCAGTGTTATTCCCATTAGGTTCCTCGGTGTAGACTCACTGTATTCCTAGACTCAAAAATAGCGCCTGTGCCTAGAGAAACAACATTAGCAGAGAAAACACACTCAAGTATTCCTGCCTTACTTCGGGGGTGCCAATGTATTTCCTAGTACCGCGAATTCCGCCTGTCTCAATCCGTCCAATGCTGTTGAAACCCATATCCCAAGCATTCTCGATCATCTCCTGTATCTGCAGAATCGTTGGTAACGTCTCCGAGAAACATTCATGCCCCGGAACGCGGCATTCTTTGATGTAGGAAATTAGCATTTGAATATTTCTGTAGCCACAAAAACCCCCCTCTTTTGGCATCTTAGAGACTTGATGTACTTTAGGGCTACAGAAGAAAGCACGCTGTACTGATTTGTCCTGCTCACAAAGTCTAGCAAGCACTGGAACAACATCAGCCGTCTCGTTCTCCATTGAATGATGCTTCCGAAGCGTTCCATCTGGAGCAATTGTATTCGACTCCGTTATCTTGACGCCTTTTTCTAATAACTTTCGAAGCCACGAAGGCATCTGCTTCTCATGAGCATAGGGTCCTAATTCGGTGCGCTATTTCAATTGTTAGCAGGCCCACGATGTAGAAGCTGTGCAAAATACAGGGAATATAACGCAGAGAAGGGGCTGGATACTCCAAGCTTTTTCACAGTGAACGCTATATTTGAAGGACTACGAGGTCTTTTTTCTCTTAGTGCTTCCTGGGCAAGTTTCTTTTTGTTTAGTTGGCTCTTAACAAAGGGTTCATGGAAGTACTGGGTATTGTCCAGGTCCTCGTCATCGTCAGGTCTGCTTAGCTTTCGAGCAGTCAGCGAGCCGGAGAACTCTGGTTGAGAAGATGTTGTACTCTCATGGGCAGTTTCTTCTGCAAAATGTAGATCAATATGAGTGGGAAGCTCAGTGTCCATCACTATCTTCCCACAATCACGTGGGTAATGGGTGTCGTTCTCGTCGCTGGCAGATTGTTGCGTGTAGTCAGATGATGCCCTGTTCAAGTATATGGCATTTTTACCATTGTTGACACCAAACCTTCTCTCAATTTCAGGATGATATAGCTCAATATGTTCCATAATAGAATTGCTATCAGGCTCAGAAAATGTGCAGAACGGACATGTCGGGACTTCTGCTCTTGCAGGATCCATAGTAATCGATCTAAAGGCTTCCCTTATAGTTAGAGATCGTTGAGTTAGCAAATAGAAGTAGGAGCGGAGATAAGGACCTATGTAAGACCAGATATCATTATCTACCCGACTTCCGGAGACCCAAGGCGGATCGGTGCTGCATAGAAAGTGGAACGATATTCCATCTAGCTGAGGTTTCAATTGGTTGCTATCTGCGGAATACTCCGTAAGGAGTACTTCGCAGCTAATCGTGTTAGGTATTATTATTACATAGGTACCCAGTAGGTAGTATTGGCTATTATTCGTACCTAGTTTTCATACACCAGAAAGATGACTCACAGGCAGGGGTGTCCACTGTCAACACCCAAGTGCTACAACCGTAGGACAGCTATGTACTTAATTCCCATGAAAAAAAGATAATTTTTGTGCCCTTTATATGCCTATGTATGTGCTGTATTCACCTGTAGTGCCTAACTTCAAATTAGAATGGCCCCAGCTACTGTAGAGTTGTAAGTTATATACAAAGGGACTGAAGTACCTATAGTAATTAACTAAGTATCATAGATGTACGAAGTACTCTACAGTAGGTAAGTACCTAATTCAAGATTTAGAGCTCTGTGTACCAACAGTGGACGAGAGTAGTAAGAATTGACTCCGATATCGTATTCCACATGCGGAAGGCGGAGAAGGGGGAAAATTATGTGACACCCCGTATCATTAGAGGGGCTCCGCTTTCGCAACCCCGCCAGTGCACATAAAAAGGCTATCCCGCTACAGAAGCCAAGTAATGTGAGGATTACCATCGCCTTTTGAGAATAAGGTATAGGTTGACAGTTACTCTTCAGCATGGAACCTCGGCTGCCATCCAAATTGGAACCATTGTCGACAGCTAATAGCGACCTAGTAGTCTCTTCAAACAGCGACTGGGTTGTACAAAAGTTTGGAGGTACCAGCGTGGGCAAGTTCGCTCTTAATATCATTGATCAAGTTGTTCTGTAAGCAACAAGATAAGACATATAAATAGGTGCTACTGACATCCTTGAATCAAGACCAAGCCTTTTAAACCACAGTGTGGCAATAGTCTGCTCTGCAAGAAGTAGCTCTACCAAAGCTGAAGGGACTACCAATCGGTGAGTCACCTCTCAACTTCAGTTAGGCGTTGCCCTACCTCGCAGTTCTAAAAATTGACATTCCTCTGTTTTCATTTGAAATTAACACTGACGATGAAACAATTGATAGGCTATTACGCGCGGCGCGGGACGCAGAGAATGCTGAATCTAAAAACTACGTCTCCTTCGTTGAGGCGGTCCGATTGGAACATGTCGAAGTAGTCGAGAGTCAAATCAATTCCAAGAAACTAAAGCTTCAGTTGGTTTCCGATATTAACGATGAATGTGAAAAGGTTCTGAAGGTCTTGGAGGCTGCTCAGACGCTCGGAGAGATCAGTGCCCGCTGTGTGGATAAAGTTATGAGTACAGGAGAGAAGCTTAGTTGTCGACTTATGGCAGCTTTCCTCCAGGACCGGGGAGTAGATTCAGAATATGTGGATTTGGCTGAGATCGTCGACTTTACTATCTCAGGCCAGGGTCTCGACCAGGAATTCTACAACAACCTCGCCAGCACTCTCGGTAAAAAAATTCAAGCTTGTGAGGGCAGAGTTCCAGTTATAACTGGGTTCTTTGGGACTATACCAGGCGGTCTTCTTGATCAAATAGGACGGGGATATACAGATCTTTGTGCCGCTCTAGTCGCCGTTGGGATTTGTGCCAAAGAGCTACAGGTATGGAAGGAAGTCGACGGAATATTCACAGCAGATCCCCGGAAAGTGCCAACTGCGCGTATTCTTCCGGCGATTACACCTGCAGAGGCCTCTGAGCTGACATTTTATGGCTCAGAGGTCATTCATCCTTTCACCATGGAACAAGTCATCCGCGCGAAAATTCCCATTCGCATCAAGAATGTCATGAACCCGAAAGGCAATGGGACTATCATTTTCCCTGATTCTACTTATGAATTGGAGAAGATAGCCCCAGGACATGACCCTAGATTGTTCCGTACACGCAGTCCAAGCCTTGTGCAGACGCCGAAGCGTCCTACCGCTGTAACTATCAAGCACAAAATTCTCGTGATCAATGTCCACTCCAACAAACGCTCCCTGTCGCATGGGTTCTTTGCTGGCATCTTTTCTGTCCTTGACCGGTGGAGGCTGTCAATCGATCTGATATCCACCAGTGAAGTGCATGTGTCCATGGCTCTCCATTCTGAGTCGCCTCTTCTCAACGGGGTTGGCAGGGATGAATATCAAATCATTGACGAGGACTTGAAGGGTGCGTTACGCGACCTACAGAAATATGGGACGGTCGATATAATTCCAGAGATGGCCATTTTGAGCCTTGTTGGTAAACAAATGAAGAACATGATTGGCGTTGCTGGGCGGATGTTCACAACCCTTGGAGAGAATAATGTGAACATTGAAATGATCTCTCAAGGTAAGTGTGACGATGTCGACCTTGTACTGGATTTTATTGACCAAGAGCTAATTGCTCCTCTTCTTTTTAAGGTGCGAGCGAAATCAATATATCATGCGTCATTGAAGAGAGAGACGCAGACCGTGCCCTGAACATTATCCATACGAGCATGTTCACCTTTCTAGACTAAACGCCCTCCTTTCCCCCTTCGCCTCCTTTCCCTTGCTTTCCTCCCTTTTCTCTTCTTGTAGGGGTGTCTGCACAATACCAGCGAGGGTCTCTGGATACCCATGGCAAGTCTATTCAATATGACGAAAAGTTCCATGTCTTATGTGATTATGTAAAAGTTGTGACTCTGGAGTTGTCTGATTGAGTCTGGCTCGAGCCCATGTTCCTCTCTTTTTTCCCCGAACCCATGCGTGATGTGGACTTTCTGCCATGCGCCACACGTTGTTCCTCCGCACTGACATAATCATCTTTGTGTTTCCGGGATAGATCTCACTTATTTCTGTTCACTTTTTCAGGCGTTGATTGTCTTTTTTGTCTAGATTTAGATCAAACTCGTTGTCAGCCAGGGATATAGAGGGTTTTACACGGAGTTTTTGAAGCAATGACAAGCACTTCGTAAATAGGCGTTTCCAGTCAGTCTTGTTGTTACATTTATGTGACTTTTCTCCCATCAAAATTAGAAATGTCCTGGCACTGGAGTGGTAAATGTGAGGAGACCAGACGCTACTACAACCCGGACGGGGCGCGTCGTTTCGAATACTGTGTGGAGACTCGTAGGCAGGAGGGATGTACTGTACCATCAATTGGAGCTCATGTGAACAAAAATTTTCATTATTCACGGGTTTACTCCTATGCCAGGTGTCGTCAACTTTGATTTTAACTCAGACGACGCCTTACTAGCATCGTAGGTCATGTTTCCTGGCACTTTAATCTCCCCCTTTCATAGAGCTATAGTAGAGTTCTACAAGTATAGGTGCCTATCGGAGGTACTGCCTACCCACGATTATGATCAAAAGTCAACTAAAAGTAACTATTGGTAATTCAAATACTATCTATGCTAGGAGCATGAAATTATGCTGCTGTATGTAGATCCCACACAACTACTGCAGGCCAATACGGGTACCTGAGAATCTTCCATACCCTTGCCTAGGCCAATCTCATGTGTATATGTAGACAATTAACGCAGGTAATATTCACTTTGTTATGAATCATCCCAGTTAAAGGACTAAATTCATGGATAGTGGCGAGCAAGGGTCCTTTACTCATTTAAATTAGTACTCGCTCTCTGCACAACTGCTGGAGAAACAGGATGTATGGTCGATACTTTCATGGACATGTTAACTAGGAGTAATAGAAGTCAACGAGCCTTGAATATTTATAGTTCAAATCCAAGCACCTCAGGCTTGTGCAGCCTATCTTTGAATAGCCCCATCAATTGCTGGATGACGAATGGTGTCTCAGCCTTTACACCTTGTCGCTTGAGATGGCTGATCCTTATAAAATCTGGGTGGCGGTATGATCACAAAACTTTCCTTCCATCAAGAGGAAGCATGGGGTGGGAATCTAGACAATCCTTAGTACGAATCTAATAAAATCGGGCTTGGCTTAGAAAGCGCACACAACCTGGCATTAAGTCTGATGGCCGGGCCGCTGGGCATGCTTGCCTCGTCAACTGATGGGAGGGCCCCAATGATCGACCGTGATCGCCTGGTGATTGGACACGATAATCGTTCTGGGTGGCGGAACGGAGCAAGGAGGTCAGCCAATGGTGAAACAGGAGCTTCTGTATTGTCACCCATGACAATACTAGTACCGAAACCCCACCCCTCCTCCGATGTGATCGCCTACTCGACGCGTGACGCGAACGCGACCTAACCATACAATACATACTTACCTGCCAAACGACGTCGCGACAATCACCCAGCATCAAGTTCCTTTCTCTCCATTCCTCAGCCCAAGTAATCGTACATAACTTTGCTGTTATTAACGTATCTCGCGCACCCCGCCTTACCTCGAGGGAGAAACCTTACCAGGTGAAGTGACTCGATTATAGAGTGAGGCCATCTTCCCGCTTTATCTCTTCTCTGCCTCTCCTCTAAACATCCACTTCAACCCGTCCCCCATCATCGTTTCTAGATTTACTACTATTTCACGCGCCCGCGTGAACCCACCTCTCTACCCACCATCGTTGGGTGTAAAACAGTCCTGTGCCAGCCTTACACCCAGCCTATTCCAAGTAAAAGAAAGAAAGAAAGAAAGAAAGAAAGAAAGGGAGGGGGGGGAGTATAACATCAAGAACAGCTCACAATCAAGTTAAACCCGACAGCTATACCCGCTTTTTTCTTCACAGTTGGAGCCACGGCCTCGATGTGCCCTCCTTAGCGCCTTTGTGGCCCAAATACCCACTTCTTTGCGCTATAGCCTAAGACCCTTTTCATCATTCCATCTCGTTCTTTCAATACCACCAAGAATTGTCCTACATACTGCCCTCTCAGGTGACTACGATTCACTTGGCCATTGGGCGTTGCTGCCCCTGCCCCTCATCATCGGCCGACTTGACGCCGCGTTCACCTGGACGGTGCGTGCTACTATACTCCCGTGTCGAGGATTTCTCCGACGCGTCCAGCATTTTGGGCACCCGCTCAATTGGACGACATCATGAGCTCCACCCGTCATGCACCAACTGCGCCAGCAGTTGTCAAGTCATCTTCCCCTACTGAGCAAGGAATTGCCAAATCTCGTCCTCGACTGGAGCCATCACCATTACCCCTGCAGCCCGTCGAGCATGTCACAGACACGGGTTATATCTTGAGCCTGCCACCCGCTGTCACGCACAAACCATCGCCTACGAAGACACGTCGAGGGTCAGGTGTTTCTCTATCTGGAGGAGGAAAGCTGGGTTTTGTCTCCATAACGGCCCCTATCCCACCATCGTTCCCTACGGATTCTCCCACAAAGAAAACACCTTCTAATCCATACGCGTATCCCGTTACGTCTACAACGTCGATGCCGCAGTCGGCCTTGTTCACGACATTTCCCAGCATCAATCCCGACAGGCTCTCCTCAAAACAGAGTCAGCCTATAGATGAGCCACCCAGTGATAATTTCGCGGATTTTCCTGAACCATCATTCCACTCCAGGACTCAATTGAAAAAGACGCTCATGGACGCGGCTCCATTGAAAGAGCGGCCTGCGAAAAGGCCGAAACGCGAAGATACTAACTCTATGCGTTTGCCCGAGCCACATGAAATGCCCCCTATAGAAGACGACGGCACGAAACCACCGTATAGTTATGCAACACTGATAGGGATGTCTATTCTACGCGCATCAAATAGACGGCTGACCCTTGCACAGATTTACAGGTGGATTTCAGACACGTTTTCATATTACAAGAACAGTGATCCTGGCTGGCAGAATAGCATCCGGCACAATCTCAGTTTAAACAAGGCATTCATAAAGCAGGAACGGCCTAAGGATGACCCAGGGAAAGGCAACTACTGGGCCATTGAACCTGGGATGGAAGCACAATTCCTAAAAGACAAACCTTTACGCCGTGCTACGATGTCTAGTATCCCCCTTCCGGCTGCTCCCCAAAGGGAACTTGGGCATTCACAGAGCTCCGCCACGTCCACATGGACAGTTCCATCGTCTACCTATCCTCCTGTAGTACCGAAACATTTGAAGAATGTGGATTTGTCCTCCGACGCGACACTACCTGCTTCGGACCCCGCCCTCCAGGATGACACAGGTGATGAGGGAGTGAGCAGGCCTACTACACAGACCCTCCCGCCGCGGTCTTCTCCGCCGCAGACTATACACTCATCTCCTCCAATTGTGCCGCCTCGGTTTATCCGCCAGGGAACCCCGCCTACGCCATCTCAGGGTGTTACGTCAACAGGGGTCGTTTCTCGCTCTAAAAAACGGAAGTCAACTGGCATAAATGATAGCGGTTATTTTTCTTCTCTGGAGTCTTCGGCAATGCGACCAAACAAAGCTGGACACATACTCACATCAGACTTGGATATTGAACCCCCTCGTATCAAGCGTGGCCGGGCAGAGGAAGAGATCGCTCGGATTAGAAGTTCTTCTCATGATATCAGTCCGGGTCATTCTGGTACGCTGAAAGACGCTGGGCTTATTGTTGGCTCCTCGCCACTTCGCAGTGAATACGTTAGCATGCTACCACCTCCCCTTACCCCTGTCATAAAATTTAAGAAGCCCGCAAAACCCCCACCGTCGGTCTCCCCTAACACCAATCTTCGAAACCACCGCAAGAAAATCCAGCAGATGGTCAATTCTCCTATTAAACATCTAGGTCTCACAGACGAAGATCTGCCATGGAGCCCAGCCTTTAACATTCAGGATGAAACCTTTACGCCGAATGAAAGTCTCCACACTACTTTTGACGTATTTGCGGATACTGCCACGGATAACATTTCAACGCCAGCATATGGTTCACCAGGAAAGCGTTCTGTCAAACGTTCAAGGAGTGATGCGAGTGGCTCAAACGGCGGTGTGCTTGCGGATATCACGGCTATGAGTGTGAACAGCCGCATCGGCCTGCCTTCATTTTCATCTTCAAGCAAAACGAAAGGCCTTCTCTTCCCCGATTCACCATCGAAAGTCCCTGAGTCCGGGCGCTTTATAGATGCTACCCATGATGACTTTTTCTCATTCCACCTTTTTGATGAGAGCCCCGGAGAGGTAGATGGCGTTGACCTTTTGCAGGGGTTTCAAAAAATCGGGAGCGGAAGCAAAGAAGAACCATCAAAACCCAGACCGCAAGTGCCTAGGCCGCCCCTGAATCATCGGAGCAATATGTCGTTATTTTGAGTCTCAGAGAGGTTCTACTCTTGCGAGAATTTTTCGACATGATGGCACTCCAAGAACATGGTCTCATCTAATCTATGCCGTTGCTTAGCGCACACAGTAATACCGGTCTTAATTCTGGGATTTTTGGAGTTTGTATTCAACGGGATTTGCGCTTTGGGTTGTTGGAATTTTAGGCGGTTGATATTTTTGGAGTTCTGGGCTGGGGTGAGGTCTGGAATCGGTTTTGACTTCAATTGATGACCTTGTTATGACCTTGACGATATTTGCTAAGATGTACATGAAATGCCATGCTTTACGAGCCTGAATCTTGACCATGTCTACTCCCAGAAGGCCTTGATATGTGCTTGCTATTTCTTCCCCCTATTTATTTACTGTTGGTTGTAGCTATTTGTCAATGGGATTTCTGTCAATGCTAGTCGGTTAAGTACGTGTCCGTTTGACTAGATTCTTAAAGCACAATATGGTGCGCAGCTCTTTGTAGGGGTATCATTTTGCGATCGGGTGAAACAGTGATATGTGAAAGAACATTGAATAGAGAGCCGAAGGGAGAGATGTGGGCGCAGAGGGGAATATTCTAGATAAGCAGTAGAAAAACCAAATACAACCCGGACGCCTTTGTAAGAGCAAACCAACCATGAATCCCGATTTCAACCATGTACATAGAACCATTTCCGACTTTTGTTTTCTTTCCCCCTTCTTTATGCCCCAAGCTTGAACCTCCGGGGACAGTGTTGGCAGATCAATGCTAATCACTACTGGCACAACCTCGACATCCACAACTAACGCATTGCATCATCTGATCCTCTTTCAGTTGGGCCTTTGGAACGCGGCAAATACATGTTGCATTAAAATTCGTTTCCTTAGTTTGAATGCAACGGAGACAACAAAGCTATGATTCAGCACAACGTCAGTGAAATGCTAACTCTAAGGTATTGGAAGACATTCAGACGCAAACGCACCCTAGAAGATGAGAGAAACTGGGGGACAATACCTTTTCGTAACCTTGCTTCTTCCATTTAGCAATTAAGTTAGCATCCGCATAGTTGTTCTTAAGAAGCCAGTCATATAATTGCTTTGATATAGCTTCCTTTTCGTAATATAAATCGTAGATATATCTTGAGCCTGTAAAAGGATCTCACAAATTAACAACATTCGACAAAAATTGCAGGAGTAAGGGTATACTTACGTTGATGGGTTATTTGAAAAATTGGCCACAGCATCTCATGTTTTTTCTTGCCATCATGCGGCGCATTCTCTGCGTCTTTCATCTTGTTACTGAACTCAAGCAGTGTATCCTCGATGTCATCGAACCCCGCCGGAGGTGGTTTGCGGTTGCGGGAGGTTCGGATCGGAGGCATACTCAGCGTATCAATGATAACGATAGGATAAATCTAAAAGTAAAAGCTAGATGTTGTCCTTATAGACGTCTTTGAAGGTAGGGGGGGCCTTCTTCAGGCTAGCTTGGTTGGTTGAAAAGGCGGTTTGGGATCTGCATCCCTTTTCTGCCCCAGAGCACCGCCTTCTAATTATGCGGAAAGGAACTGTGTTAGGGTATCTCATCAGTTCAGCTTCATTAATTGAAACACCTCCAGTCTTATACTACCCCGTTACTCCACGTACACTCCATAAAGCATCAAGAATCACTTCTCTGAAATCAGGATGGATCAACAGCTCGATGTCTCCAAGCTCAGCGATGCCGACAAGAAAGAATTGAACCAGATTTTAACGAACGAGGCTCAGAAGTCAAACATCCAGCAAAGTAAGTAAATAATACATCTAAACTTAGAGTTTGTAGCATTTGACTCAATGTGCTGACGGACTATTCATAAGCCGTGCATCACCTCGCCGACGTTTGCTGGAAGAAATGTATCACTGGGAAGATTTCGTCCGGTCGCTTGGATCAATCTGAAGAGGCTTGTGCCCAAAACTGCGTGGAGCGTTGGATGGATACCAATCTTGCTGTTTTAAAACATTTGGAGGCTCTTCGCTCACAATAAGCAGGTTATGGTTCTGATAATGACAGACTTGGTACATAGGGTGCCTTGGAATTATCAATACTGTGGCGATGGGGTGTCAAAACTTTGAGATGGGAGCAACCTGTGTCTTTGCTAGCATGACAACTGATTGATTTTGTACTGTATAACTAGGAATGATCAATGCATTCGCTACATATGTATCATTTCGCGTTCCTTGACCGACGAGCCCAATGGCTATCCCATGCACCAGGCTCCAGAAGCCTGTCTGCCTCCAAGCGGTTGGGTAAAGGCTTTAGATAAGATTACAAAGAAAACTCCGAGTTCTACAGCACTACCCAGATCAATTCAGATTATGCATTCAAATGACACCTCTTTTATAACGATCATTCAGCCGTCGTTGCAGCACGGGTAGCTAACTGTATGACCAGGACTTATAAGCTACCGCGTTAAAAAAAAAAACAAGTTCACCAGACCCATAAAAGATTGAATCATCTAGACAATGGCAAGCTTGGTAGCCGCAATATCCAGAGCATCCACATCAGGGGTTAGCCGAGCGAAGGCTTTCTTGGATCCATCGGGCCTGTATCCTTGTTAGAAGCAAAATTCTCGATTGGAGAGTTGATCACTCCGCGCCAAGATGATCTTCATACCTGACAAGAGTATTGACCTTAACAGTGTCGACATCATAAAGTTTCTTAAGAGCCAGTTTAATCTGACGCTTGTTCGCCTTCACATCCACGATGAAAACCAGGGTGTTGTTCTCCTCAATCTTCTTCATCGCACTCTCGGTGTTAAGGGGGTAGAGAATGACCTTGTGAGAATCGAGACGAGGAGCATGAGGAATCGACTTGCGGGGGTACTTGGGCGACCGGGAGAGCTCAAGGGTCTTAGGGCGGTGGAAGGTGGTGGAAGTGCGGACCTTGCGAGCCTTGTGCGCCTGGTTGACGAAATATCTTAGCATGAAAAGGTACGTTGGATGCTCAACGATGGTAACGTACGCCTACACCCTTCAGGACTGCCTTGGCAGCAGCGCCAGCGCGGTCGCTGGGCTTCGTCTTGCCTATAGAAATAGCCAATCAGCAAAACTGCGAAAAGTGATCTAATGGTCTCTTCCAGGAAGCGTTCATTTGTGCTGGGGAGAACAGGAGATAAATCCACAACGCACTCCCTCTCTCGACTTCATTCCCCTCGTGGATTATGTGCGGAACGATCGCATATCAATGTCCGCTAGGAAAAGAAGCACAAGATGCTCTCTGAACCTTGCGGTTTCAAACTCGACAATCCTGCAAATTTGGGGGGAAACAGCAAATCGCTCGAAATCTACCCACCTTGCTTGTTATCCGCCTTAGGTGCCATGGCTGTCGTCCGGCGCTGTCGTGATGATTGTCGCGGTGTCGAATGTCGAAGTATTTCGAATGCACTCGCTTAGCGAAAACCCTACAGCTTTGCTCTGTGGGTCACCTGACCTGATTCTTAGTCCCGCTATTATATTCTGCGCCAAACCTAATATGGATATATTAACTCCACTTTTGAGACTTGCACAATACATCCTTGACCATTGAAAGGTAATACTTACTAGTTGTTGGGAAAGGCTGTTTTATGTCTGGACTCTGCATACTTCTTTTGTAGGTAGCTTGTATTGTACCTACTGCTCCTCTTTCACTTCCGTCCCGAAACCCTACTCGTTCACAAAGGCGGCTTTCAACCCTATCGCCTACTTAATGAAGAATCTTGAGAATCAGATCTGCATCTTCTCCGAAGTTCAGCTACAAGACTAACGTCGCACATTCTTTATATATACATAACTGTAAGCATGGCCTCAAGGAGATCTCGGACGAAAAGAACTACGCTCCTTTCACATACTCGACCGCCAACAGTCAGAGCCAAACATGCAGCCCTATCGTCTAAAGCCACACGCAATCTTATTCGCGGCCATCATCGACTTCTCAAAGACCGGGCACAGGCTCTAAAAGCCAACGATAATCTTCTAATTGAAAGGATCGATGCCCAAATTCGAGAGAATGGCGGCTTACAAGGCTATCAACTTGCTAGCAGACTCGGACAGTCGCTAGAACGCGGTGGAGACTCAAGTAAAGCTTTAGTCGACTGGCTAAGTCCACAATTATCGCGGTTACAAGATACGAAGTCTAAGCTTAGGGTGCTCGAAGTTGGTGCGCTCAGTACCAAAAACGCTTGCTCTATGAACCACTCCCTAGATGTCACCAGGATCGATTTGAATTCTCAGGAGCCCGGGATATTAAGACAGGATTTTATGGAAATGTCGCTCCCTCGTGACGCTGCCGATCAGTTTCACATTATTAGCCTATCTCTGGTTCTCAATTATGTCTCAGATGCCATTGGCAGGGGGGAAATGTTGAAGCGATGCGTTGCCTTCCTGAGAAAGTCCCCTCTGTCTGGGTCATCCTTCCACATCACACCTAAGTTGTTTCTAGTCTTACCTGTGGCCTGCGTCAAAAACTCGCGATACCTCACGGAGTGCAGACTGCAGGACATAATGTCTAGCATGGGGTTTGTTTTGGAAAAGAGCAAGGAGACTTCGAAGCTGATATTCCAGCTTTGGGAGCACAGCCATGACTTCCAACCCGTGTCGTTCAAGAAAGAGGTTTTGAGACCAGGCAAAATGAGAAACAATTTCGCCATTGTCGTCAAACGATGAAAGAGAGGTGCACAATGACCGCAAGGCTGGCTCAAAGGCTCTACTATACAGAAATCATATTTTCCGGCAAGAACGCCCACGTGGTTCCAACAATTGCCAATGCTGTTGATATGAGTAAAAGAAGCCAGTCCAGGATCCACTCTCGTCGACTGATTTCTTGTCCGAATATTTTCAGATAAAATGCAAGTGGCAGGACGATGCATATCGTAAAGCATAAGGCAGAGCCCATCAGCGCCATGATTCGGTCAAAGGATGGGCAGAGGATTGCCATTAGCACGATGACCGCAATCACAAGAAGCCGTATAATGGCTTGCAATGACTGTCGAATGGCTACCCGTATACTATTGGAATTCTCTGACACCAAGGCAACGTGTGGCCCAAGCCCACAAAGGACTTCAACTGTGGCCACCAGAGGTCGACAGCTGTATTCATCAGTGAATATGAGCTCGAAAAGGGTTTATAGAAAAGAGACTGAGCTTACTTCAGAGGCACTTTTGTAATTGGAATGATTGCGATAAAGATTATGATGCAAATAGATATTCCGCGGGGGTATTCATTCGTCAGCAGGATGTTGGCGGTGACTTCATCGCGTACTCCATCACCAAACATCACCCATCCCACAATAGCCATTGCGCAATCCAGGGAATACTGTTGTGTATGTGTTAGATATATACCGTTGCTTTATTTTTTTTCTATACCCCCGTACCGTAAAAAGATATGTAGCCCACAAGCTCTTTCCATACTTGCTCGGGTGCCTCATATCTCTATATATATTGGGGAACACGCCATGGCCGCCCCAAGGTGCTTTACGGATTTGATAGAGTCAACTTATCTCGATCCTTGACCACCACTTTCAAAGGACTTACACATGATCAATCCGAAGCTAAGAGGTACGGTCCGCCAATTGTTTGGGAATAAAGAAGTCCTGGCTGGTTCATGGAGGGAGCCCGGACCGTTCGGTTTGAGGAGCCCATCAAGGCATATTAACATGACAACTTCGGAGAGTTAGTTTGTGACGCAAAATGCTCGGGGGGAGACTGAGGCGTACTGGATGTGCAAGAGATGATACCTAAGATACTAGTCACACTGAGAAGTCGTAATGGCACAAAGTTCAAAGGAATAAGCATGAGACCACAGATAAGTTTCCACTGCAGACTAGTCAGTCCTGGGATGAGAGCCTGGAGGCTGTCAGCGAAAAGTACAACTAGGGCGACACAAGCCCCTATGAGTTCCAAACAGAATAGAAGACTTGTCGCTAAGCGTGCATGGTTCCCAAAGCTTATGTAGGCCAAATCTGCGTAGGTAACGAGGCTCCGATCAACATCTAAGCACCTAGCAAGGATCTTAGCTGTGTAAGAAGTTACCGCGGCAGCAAACGAAAGAAACGTTAGACCAAGCAGCCAGCCAGCCAGCTTCATTGCAAGCGGTAGGCTCAAGAGTCCAATGCCGATTAGAACATTCACGGAGTTGAAGATCGTTTGCGGTACAGTCGACTGGCCAACAACAATACTCTCGCGAGTACCATCTTCATAGTGTACTTGCTTAACGAGTAGAGATTCAGTATCCTCACTTGCAGGTGCATCAAGGCGGGCTTCTTGCTCCCTGTGGAGTTGTACAGCGTGTCGCCGCGTCGCTTCGCTAACATGGGAGGATATGGTACCGTACGATGTTCCGGCGCTTCTGTCCAACGATGATCCGAAAATGCTAGCGATTCCTTTTGGCGGATCTTGGTCATCGAGGCTATGACCGTCTTCCTCACCGTCGGCAGCAAGCAATGGCCGGGTAAGGTCAGTGTCTCGGCCGAATACTAGGCGGCCTTGAGACGTAGTAGTGTCATGCACGATCCATTCTTCGTCGGATTCAACTGTCACAAACGAGGGACGGCGAGGGATTATTTCTGGGAACCCTGCAGCTCGTTGCCATGACCTAGCAAAACTATCTATACTGTTGACCCCCCCTGCTTGTCTGAACCGCGCGGAAAATGATGCTGGCCTGAATGACATAAATATTTGCACCTAGAACAGCACAAAATTTGAAAGCTCACCTTGGTCTGTTGGCAGAATAAACATCGATTAGATGTCCTGTCGGCCCTGAGGAATTCCCACGTGAAAACACATCGAGTTCTGGTGGTAAATCTGGCGGATTCGAACTTGGTATCCTGATACCAAGTGTGCTACGCTCAAGCGTACTAGAGTCTCCTATATCTTCGTGCTCAATTGGCGTTATGGGGCTCGGCATCGTTATTATTTCTTAGCAGAGGAGGGAGAAATAAGTAGACGCGAGGGCGCTGGTGGTGTTGAGAAAGGAACTAAGAAACAAAAGTTAACAAGAATGCGAGGAACCAAATTTGGATGAAAGCATGATAGAAGAGCAACCACAAAAACCCCTGCTTTCTTTTCTGCCAAGACACCTCTACATAAGTGAAAAAAAAAAGTCGGTTATTTATGAACACAAGCTAATTAAGCAGAGAAAAACCAACTATAGGATGGATACCCTGTTCGTTACTAAGTGTCTTGAGATGTATTACAAAAAGGCGACGATGATAAGGGAAGCTGAAGGAGATAGAAAATCACGGATTAAGATAAGCGCCCCTAAGTCAGTACTCGAGACTTGATTGAAAAGTGATCTTAGTACTAGCTTGTATGTCTTATCTCATGGTTCATCTCATTATTTTATTAGCATCGGTTCAGTTACGACTAAACCTGTAGCAAACTTTCAGTATTCCGTATGACTATGCGTTACTCTGTATAGAGTACAGAGTACTAGTAGATTGTCGATGAGTACAGGTACTGTACGCATACTAGTGCTGCATACAATTAGTTACTGGGACAGAGTATACCTAGTATATGCTTCATATATACTTTGTATATATATTACATACATACATATTCAGTCATAGTACTATACATGTGTACATATGTACTTGTATATGTCTTTCAAACCAGTGGTGTCAAACATATAGTACATCCAAAAACTACTGGTAAATGTATGAAAGTACATGGGTGCCTGGAAGTGAGCATCAATGGAGGATTTTCTAGCACACCAGAGGGTTGACTAGAATATCAAAAGTAATAGTTACACATACACATAGCTCGCATTTAGCCTGTCCCTAGTAGTGAGTCCTTTGGAAGATTTTGTACATTACGAACATTTTGAAAAACAGTGGGTCCATGTAAAGTCGTATTGTTGTTTCAATAATATTTCCTACCGCTATGTCTTAGTGGCTTTGATTGGTTGACTTACGGAATAATGATTTTAAGACCAATAGAATGCTAGCAGTCAAAGCGGAAGGGAATCGCAGAACAAATGCATTAAATACAGACTGGTCGAGCTTTCAAAATACTATAGTTGTGGCCAGAGACAGTAGATATATTTATGTATGTACTACTCCGTACAGAGTATGTATGTACTATATGGTGTATCATATATGCGATACCCATGATAACAATAGTAGTACAATACAGACATACATCTATGATTATATCAGCAACTACTAGTAACTAACTAACTAGTATTCTTATGGTCACTGCCACCCCACGATGCCTGATGAAATTTGCTGAAAACACCCCCGCTGCTGGATTTGGACGGCACATTGAACTAGCCTGAAGGTATGCAAATTATCACCCTCAGTTCCTGGCTTTATTACTTGTTTCTTCTTCCTCACTGTCTTTCCATCTGCCACCCCTTACCCCAATACTCTTTTTATTCTTCCTTTATCTTTAACAGAGCTCACGAGTTGACACTTTCGGTCAAGGACACACGTTAGGCTTTCCACCCCCAGTCGTCCAACATCGTCGTGTCGCCCAACATGAGCGCGGCTCAGGCGAACGAAGCGGAGAAGAACATCGAAATATGGAAAGTTAAAAAACTAATCAAACGTCTGGAGGCCGCCAGAGGAAATGGCACCTCGATGATCTCTCTTATCATCCGTAGGTTCTTCCACGGCCTCATCATTGTAGATCGCAGCTAACACTACATATTTCAGCTCCTAAGGATCAGGTATCTAGGGCAGCAAAGATGCTGGCTGAAGAATTTGTAAGAGTTTTGGTTGATTTCATTTTTGGAAGAGAGAGACGCTAACCGAGATCTGTAGGGCACTGCTTCCAATATCAAATCCCGGGTCAATCGCCTTTCTGTCCTGTCCGCCATCACTTCCACTCAACAGCGTCTCAAGCTTTACAACAAGGTTCCCCCAAATGGTCTTGTCGTCTACTGCGGTGAGATTATCACCTCCGAGGGAAAGGAGCGTAAAATAAACATCGACTTCGAGCCATTCAAGCCCATCAATACGTCTCTTTACCTGTGTGACAACAAATTCCACACTGAGGCACTGAGCGAGCTTCTTGAATCGGATCAAAGGTTCGGTTTTATTGTTATGGATGGAAACGGTGCACTTTTCGGCACGCTTAGTGGAAACACCAGAGAGGTCCTTCAGAAGTTGAGCGTCGATTTGCCTAAGAAGCACGGCCGTGGTGGTCAGTCAGCACTGCGGTTTGCGCGTCTTCGTGAAGAGAAGCGCCATAACTACGTACGCAAAATTGCTGAGCTGGCCGTCCAAAATTACATAACCAACGACAAGATTAACGTCGCAGGTCTGATCTTAGCTGGTTCTGCCGACTTCAAGAACGACCTCAACCAGTCAGATATGTTTGATCAACGGTTGCAGTCCAAGGTGATCAAAGTCGTTGATGTATCGTACGGAGGAGAGAACGGCTTCAATCAGGCCATCGAACTTGCCTCGGAAACCTTGAGTAATGTGAAGTTTGTGCAGGAAAAGAAGCTCATTGGCAAGTATTTCGAGGAAATTAGCCAAGATACCGGGAAGGTCTGCTACGGTATTGATGATACTCTCAAGGCGTTGGAACTTGGCGCAGCGGAGACGCTTATTGTATACGAGAACCTGGATGTCACCCGATGGGTCTTGAAGGACTCGAGCGGTTCCGAAGTTGTCATTCACACAACCAAAGCTCAAGAGGAGAACAACCGGGAATTGTTCCTCGACAAGGAAACTAACACTGAAATGGAAGTTGTAGATCAGTCCTCGTTCCTCGAGTGGCTTGCAGAGAGCTATAAAGATTTCGGTGCGGCTTTAGAGTTCGTTTCTGACAAGTCTAGTGAGGGTAATCAGTTTGTTAAGGGCTTTGGTGGTATTGGAGCTATTCTCCGGTATAAGGTCAATTTCGAACAGCTTGCCGACTATGATGACGAGGACGAGTTTTATGACGGTATGCTTGTTATTGACGCTGGTTAGTTAGCATGCTGACGCTGAATTACTACAGATTGACGGTCCAGCGACCTCGCAGGGAGCGAGGATGAAAGGCCAGAAGTCCCCAAAGTGGGTCTTTTGACGGCTCGCCCTTTGTGGCATGAAGGCAGCTTTCATGGTAAAACCATCGCTTCATTGGTAGGGACCATACTGCCTGGACCGAGCTCTGTCCAGCTGCTCAAAGGTATGCGCGCGCACACCTGCCAGCAAGAATGTTTCTTCGGTAATTTCTAACAGCTATGCTACCTGACAGGGCCATCCAAGCTCCGTACTATTGAGTTTTATGTTACCTACACGGTCTAGGTTGACACAAGGTGTACTTGACACAGGAATGGTGGGTGTGATGCGATACAGCTACCCATAAGAAATTGTCAGCCCTGTGGCATTTGAGCTAGCGAGTTAGGATTGATTTATCCCAGAAAAATCTTTTGGTGTTACTGTCCAATTTTGTTCATTGATCATTGTTCCTATATGCACTCTTTATACATGACTGCCTAAAAAAAAGAAAAGAAAGAGAAAAAATGGCGGAAAGAGGGGGGGAAGGAGAAAGGGAAAAGAAACAGAGAGACAGGGAGAGCAAAGGGCGGGGACTCTCACCTGTCCTTTTAGATTACTTGCTGTATTTGCGTGTATATTCGACACTGTGCATTCACTTATATATATTTAGAAAGTTACCTTTCTCTGGCCTTTACCCACGATTACCCACGAGTTAACAAGTTTGCACTTGCAAATATCGACTAAACACATCGTTCATGATCACTCAGACCATGTTCCCAAATGTCTACAAGTCTCGGTAACACTGTGCAAATAGCTCAGAATCTCAATTCCCACGTCTTTTTCCTCTAGAGTATCGGCTGTCTGGCACTCAACCAGGAAGACATACTGCCAATTCTTCTTCTGACTTGGCCGGGAGTTGATGCTTGTAAGGTTCATGCCATGGGTCTTGAATATTAGCAGAGCCTCCGCCAGTGCCCCAGGGGCATATTGTCGAACCATGAATGATATCAAGGTCTTCCTTGCTGTTGGTGCAGATGCTTCTTGCGCGCGGCGGTTATTCAAGTCTCCGAAAGGGCGCGGGGCTGTACGGCCCGAGTTTTTGTTCTTCAGCACCAGGAAGCGTGTTGTATTATCGGTTCTGTCTTCGATATTCTCTTCTAAAATATCCAAGCCGTGGAACTCAGCAGCAAAGCGGCTAGCTATTGCAGCGCTCTGTTCTGTTTTTGCTTTTGAAACAATCTCCCCAGCCTTGGAAGTTGATGAGACATCCTGCCTTTCGATGCCTCTAAAGTATTTTCCAAGGAATCTTTCACATTGGCCCCAAGCTTGCGGGTGAGTGTAAAGCTTAGCTACGGAACCATAGTCCTGTTGACTAGAGAATACACCTCTTCGGGCTAAGAGGCAATGGTGCACTGTCAAATAATGCACGCCGCATACCGCGACATCCTCGTAAAGGCCATTGGGGTCTGCCAGGAGGTCAAGAGTCTGAACGACTGAGCCGTTAGTCGAATTTTCACAAGGAATGATAGCAAAATCTGCTTCGCCCTGTTGCACTGCGGTGAAAGCGTCCGTGAATGATACACAAGGTAACAATTCAGCAGACTTCCCAAAGACTTCAACAGCAGCCTAGAATTCCGATTAATGATATGGGAGTTTTTTGGGCTTAGTATCCTGACCTGGTGTGAAAAGGACGCAGCAGGGCCCAGGAATGTTACAGTGACATGCTCCATAGCTGTTGGAATTTATGGGACTAAAGAGAGAGAGACGATATTCCGCTGTACTTGCTTTACTGGAGCCGAGAGACATCTGCGAGTGCATGGTATATGTGGGGAACGTATTTGAAGCAAACAAGTCAAACAATATACGCAGTGTTGGTTATTGTTAGCGAGCAGCTTCAATCACATTGCAATGGTCCCATCCCCTTGCTGCTAAACCCCAGAAGATAGCCTTCTTATCATTACAAGACCGATTTTCTGAATGAAGAGGAACATCTTACTCCCACTAGGGGGAGGAAGATCGGCAATCGCTTTGCGAACATACTCGTCACTTTGCGATCGTTTGCATCGCGAATTAACATCACGGATACTGCCTTTGACCTTTGATTATCTACATACCCAACCTTCCCATCTCCTGAGTTTGACATTAGCTGACCTTCTTCCGGAAGCTCTCGTATCGTCGCGTATTCATACAGCCCTCCCCTCTATCACTCGTGCATCTCATATGCCGGCTGGCCATCACTTGGCTTATTTTCCTCCGCAGGTTACGCTATCACAGTTACTACCAGATGGTACTGATGTCTTACATAGTCCCGGTGAACCTTTTGGGAGGCGTCTATGGGCCGGTGGAAGCGTCAGGTTTCCCGTCACAAGAGGTCTGCTTCTTAACGGCGCTCGAGCTGTCTGTATCGAAACAATTCGTGACGTGATTGTCAAGGGACATGAAGGGGCGGAGAAAGTGATAGTTAAAATAGAGAGGCGAATGGGTGTGGTACAGGAGGGGGAGGGCGAGGGCAGTATCAGAGAGCGGATATGGAAGGAGACCGAAGACAAAACTGGGCATGCTTCGGTCATTGAAACTAGGAATCTGGCTTTTATGCGGAAGAAAACACAAGGTGAACTGAAATATGACAAGATGAATTTTGATAACTTTCAACGAGTTATAAAACGTGCGCAATTTCATCCAACACGCCTAGAAAGTATATGCTGACACCTATTTTCTTTTGTTTATTTCAAGCTCCTCATAGCCCCGAATATCGCCTTCAAATCAAGCCGACACGGCCATTACTGTTTCGCTTCTCTGCTCTCACGCTCAATGCTCATTCTATTCACCTGGATGAAGCTTATACTCAGAATATAGAAGGTTTCCGGAGCCTTCTAGTGCATGGACCGTTGACTTTGACATTGTTGCTCACTGTCCTTGAAGCACATCTCGCCAAATCAAACCAGATCATCAGGGAACTTGACTATCGAAATGTGGCTCCTCTTTATGTTGATGAGCCTCTCACCATTTGTGGCAAGCCAAAGTCTGGAAAGGACAATGCAGTATGGGATGTATGGATTGAAGGAAAGAACGGAGGCCTGGCAGTACGCGGTACTGCTTTTACAAGCCCAGTGTAAGGAATGGGCTTCGCATCTTTATATCACCACGAGCCCTGTCTCGATATGCAGTTTCTCGGCACAAGCTAGTGTACATCCCCTTGGGTAAGGAACTCAGTATTTAGGTTTCCAGAAGATGTAAATCCGCGACATGGAGCAAAGCACTAGTATAGAAGTTCGGTCGTCATGCTACGACCTTGACCTCTTCTGCAACTATACAGACTAACCATTCATTCATCGTCAGCCAGTTGGTATAATCATCATTTCAACGCCAATTTTATAGAGGAGTTATGGGAAGTCATCGTTGATGCGAAATTTCACGCAATAAGTCTAGTTCATGGTTGGGACTAGGTCTTGACGATGGCCTACTCTGCGATGCGGATCTGAGAACTGAGGTTGCTTTATTTGGGTAAATACAAAGTTGTTCTCTAAGTAATCTAGTCAGAGCTATAACACAGCAATATCACTATATCAAAATAAGACTCTTGCGATTGATTGATAATAGTACACCTCTAACTAGTTACAGTAGATGGGTAAATACTGCGTACAGTAGAATATCGCCTCCGGAGTGTTATCCCTTTATCAGGCATCATGATAATCTTAGTGTTCATTCACCGTTAGATGCAAGCGCCACGGTGGCTACACCGATTTCCCATACAAATTTGAAAGCAATGTACTGAAGGCCTTGATTCAACATCGTCATCCAACCATTCAGAATGCCCACCTCTGTTAAATGGAGTAGCCAGAAGGCTATCCTGCTAGCTGAATAATTGCTAAAGCCTCATTTAACTCTTTCACAACTTGCTGAGTGGTTTAAACAGAATTTCAAGAGACAATAACGGAGTCCACAGCCCCAATCCCTTTCATCTCGATACGCATAGCTCAATCTTCCTTCTGGACCCTCAAGCAGACATGGCGTCGTATAGAACACTAGCTAGAGCTAGAAGCCTTTTCGAGTGAATTAAGCTCACCGCATCAAGATACGTACTATTATATAGATATTAGGGGTAGGCCAGCGGATCAAGAACAACTGCCCAAGGCTTGCGGAGCGCAATGTTTTAATGAGCTGAGAATATACGATAATCTACTCAATTTACTCGATTAATTCAAGTAGTTTAAATAGTTTAAGCAATTTAAGGGCTTTAAGCTAGATCGTGTATGTAGGAACGCGAGCTCGGGAAAAACAGCTACTAGTAGCTACTAGTACTGAACAATAAATTAATAGCAGAGCGAAGCTCTGCAATCATAACTATATCTCAATAAGAAAAGTGTCAGAAACTATATATTAAATACATATTTATCTTTTTACTAACCCCTTGGTCTCTAACTAATATTTTAGCTTTTGTTTAAAGAAGACGAAATATGTGGTTACAGGTCAGCTGTCAGAGTTATCTACGTACTAATCAGGGTAGACGACCTGTCAACTAGGTAAGGATACGTAGGCAAAACAACAGTAGATAGTCTATCGACAGGAGACTGATTCTTGATTTTCCCACTACTGACTACAGTACTAATTTATAGCCAAGGACCCCTAAAGTTCTCTGTATACAATGATCAATCCTCAGAGGGGGGGGCCACTGTACATCATTAGAAAGGTGACTGATATAGACACCGAAGACACCGTCCGGCCACCGGAATGTCCATACACTTGGGGCAGGGTATACTGTACAGAAGAGTGTAAATGACTCCGTACGATATTATCCTCCGTACTCCGTAAGTTAGAAAGATTTCTCTGACCGATACCGGAAAAAGGTACTGCCGCAAGAATTCCACTAGTGGATACCTTATATATTTTATCTCCCACAACATATTCCTCCTCCTTTCCTTTACTTTCGAACAACCAAGGTGATCTAAGTCAGGCACTGCATGATGTTTGCAACGTGTCTTGTTTCTTCTTGATTCATCTTTAATACTCGATTTCTTATACTCACATAGATGCAATGGATCGTTTTTGGTCTGCGCCGCCTGTGACAAGGTACTTATTTCACATCGCTATCAAGCTGCCACCCCCTTCATCAAATTACTGATTATTGAGATGCCAGGACTCTAGTTACCCTTACTTTCGTTCAATCTGCCCTGGTCTATGGCGGTCTACTAAGTGGTAGATATGTTATATTCCGTTCGGAACTAGTCTTCAAGCTGCTTCCGGAGGCTTGGAGGTTATTCTCGTCATTCTTTCTGACAGGACCTCGCCTTGACTTTATACTTGATCTCTACTTCAGTACGAATCTGTGATAGCCCAGTCTAACCGTGGCACTAACATGCAGTAGTGTTCAAGTATGGCAGTGCTCTGGAGACGGGATCACCACGGTTCAGCTTACCGGGTGACTTCTTCACGTATGTGTTCTTTGTAGCCACTGTTATTACGGTAAGTTATGGGAAAGCTTTGTTTCTCAGTGTCTTGGCAACCCTCCCTTCCTTTCTACATATATTACCTCGCATATCTGCCCGCCCAGCCTTCATCTAGCTGAAGCGGTTCCTGGAAGTGAGGAAGATTACCCCTGCATCTCATACAGTACCACATTCGCATTATCATTTAGGGCTGCATGCGTTACAGGTATGGTGGGATGACCTTTGAGATAGCCTACGTGATTAAACTCTATTCACGTAGGTGGTTATGGTGCCCTACATATCAGAATTCTATTTATGTCTTAGCAAAACAAATATGCTTATATATGTTCACTTTGTCGAGTAGCCTTCCCCCTGTGCTGACAAGTTAAAGCTCACCGCAGGTTGCCTATTAGATGATGTAATTTTCACCCATGGTGAGGTCGCTGCAGCATCTAGCATAATCTTACATACTAACCCTTGGCAGCACTAATTATCGCATTTGTCTACACCTTCGCCCAGGACAACCAAGGTAGAAAGGCCTCGTTTTTTGTGGTCCATTTGCCTGTTGAATTCCTACCATGGGCGATGCTCACCTGGACGCTTGTGCTTAGCGGGTGGCATGCAGCATTCAGTGAGAGCATGGGAATAGTCGCTGCACACATGTATGATTTCTTCTCACGCATATATCCGACTTTCGGAGGTGGTAGGAACAACATTATCACGCCGACTGTTGTGCGGAGAATCTTTAGCGCCCATACATCCCCCAGTCAGCACCGGGCCTATGGAACAGCTTATCGTCCGATTCCTGAAGAAGGCCGGGACTCTTTTCAAAGCCCTTGGAGCAGTAGAGGACCAGGCAGAAGATTGGGTGGCGGCTAAAATGGCTGTCTTGGTTGTACCATAATTTGATAATGATAGTGTCGGCGCCGAAGTATAAGGGGAATAGTTTGGGCCTTTAGGGACATCGTAATTAGATAAAATACCTTAATCGGCAGCGAACGTCGATTGTAACAAGGATTTCAGAGTTTTTCGTAGTTGTGGATCGGTTGCTATTCAAGTCACGGGATGTCTATTCAATTGGTAAAGATACATGCGCTAGCCTCTTTTGTCATTAGGCTGGTCGCCGCACTTCAAAATTTCCCATTACTGCTTTCTCGCTAGCGCCCCCAAAACTTTAGCTCGGTAGGTGCAATTTTTCCTGCGTTCTTTTTCAACCTGCGCGCACTCTTACCTGGCTACTCTGCACGCTCGGAGCAAGCCTGTTCAAAATGGCGGTCGCATTGGCTAAGGAAGAGATGGACTATACAATCAAGCCAGAGGCTGGCGCTTCCAACATTTCGACATCTGACTGGCCGCTTTTACTGAAGAATTATGACAAACGTACGTTCGCATCTTACCCGTATTCTTGCAGAGCTCATTGGCATTCTGGCTTCGATGATTTCATGTCTTGCTCTAGTGAGTAGCTTTAACTGACTGTACTTTTACAGTCCTTGTCAGGACTGGTCATTTCACTCCAATTCCCGCCGGTTGTTCTCCTCTGAAACGTGACTTGAAGTCGTATATTAATTCTGGCGTTATCAACCTCGACAAGCCTTCTAACCCATCCAGTCATGAAGTGGTTGCCTGGATGAAGCGGATTTTGAGGTAATATCACCAAGGTCAAACAAATGACAAGTTGCTAAATCCCTTGGTTTTATTTTTTATCAGGGCAGAAAAAACTGGACACAGCGGAACTCTTGACCCAAAGGTCACTGGTTGTTTAATTGTTTGTATTGATCGTGCCACTCGTCTGGTTAAATCGCAGCAGGGTGCAGGAAAAGAATACGTCTGCGTGATTCGCCTTCACGACAAGATCCCGGGTGGTGAGGCGCAGTTCAGAAGAGCTCTTGAGACGTTGACCGGTGCACTTTTCCAGAGACCTCCATTGATCTCTGCTGTGAAGCGTCAGCTCCGTATCAGGACGATACACGAGAGTAAACTTTATGAATTCGACAATGATCGGCATCTTGGTGTCTTTTGGGTCAGCTGTGAGGCAGGAACATACATTCGAACTCTTTGTGTTCATTTGGGCCTCTTGCTCGGTGTTGGAGCGCATATGCAAGAGCTCAGACGTGTGAGAAGTGGGGCTATGGATGAGAACAGTGGTTTGGTGACTTTACACGATGTGCTCGACGCTCAGTGGATGTATGACAACCAGCGGGATGAGTCGTATCTGCGTAAAGTCATCAAGCCTCTTGAGACACTACTCACAACTTACAAGCGTATTGTCGTTAAGGACAGCGCTGTGAATGCCGTATGCTACGGTGCCAAGCTCATGATCCCTGGTCTTCTGAGATTCGGTATGGTTCCATCATCTCTTACCGCATTCATATGGTGCCATATGACTTCCCAGGATAGTGATGATTAACATGAAATAGAGGCTGGAATTGATGTCAACGAAGAAGTAGTGCTTATGACTACCAAAGGTGAGGCCATTGCCATTGCCATTGCTCAGATGTCGACCGTGGAGCTGTCCACCTGCGACCACGGAGTTGTTGCCAAGGTTAAGCGTTGTATCATGGAACGCGATCTTTACCCACGGAGATGGGGTCTGGGCCCTGTCGCTCTGGAGAAGAAGAAGCTTAAATCGGCTGGGAAACTAGATGTACGCTTTCTACTTTCTACCTCTCTATTTTGCTTTGCTTTGTGTTTTGAGTTGCCACTGATAGCCTGATGCAGAAGTATGGTCGAGCCAATGAAGCGACACCTGCCAAGTGGAAAAATGATTATAAGGATTATAGCGCGCCAGAAACCTCCGAGCAATTGGCAGTTGAGCCAACGCCCAAGAGCGAGGTGGCTGTTCCTACATCTGAGCAGGCCGAAGCTCCCTCGTCGCCCCAGAATGAGATGGAGGTTGATGAGTCCAAGGAGGACGAGAAAAAGAAACGTAAGCGACATGAGGGAGAGACTCCCGAGGAGCGAGCCGAGCGCAAGCGCAAGAAGAAGGAGAAGAAGGAGAAGAAAGAGAGACGAAAGTCGAAGCAAGAGAAGGAGGAGAGTGATGAAAGCGATTAAGGCTTCCCAGGAAGCCCCTTGGTTGCTTCCGATAACTGAGCCTTCCTTTATGGGAGATTCTAACTTTACCTGTCTCTAAATGGTTATCGGGGCATCACCTGGGCATAATTCCTGTATCATACATGTTTTTCTTTTATCGGAGTCTTGGGTTGAAAAGGGAAATCAACATCCATTGTTTTGTTTTGTTTTGTTTTAGTGATTTTCTATTGAATAATAGTTTTCGCTCGATGAGGAACAGCGTTCCAAGGCCATTCCAAGAAAAAAAAAGAGTATAACTTGCTACTCGTAGGTCTTGGAGTGCAGGATGTCTAAAAGCCGATTGGTTAAGTGGCTGAGACCGAGGTATCGTGACCTTGGTGCCGGGCCTTCCATGTACGTGCCACTTCCCCCTCCTACCCAGGTCCACGGTACATACGGCACGTACTGCTGATTGATATCTCACCTTCTACGCCTTTTCTCCCATTCCCATGTGTCGGTGGGGGGTTAGATACCTAAGGAATCCACAATAATCATGGCTGCAGAGCTCACGTCAACAAAGCTAAACGCGGAGAATCATCTGCTACTGGTAATGCCTACCCAACATCATCAGGTTTGGGTTCAAATTATATATTAACTCCCTTCTCAACTCGTAGGACCAACCCCTCCTACGACTACCTCACGAACTTGCACGAAAGAATTTCAAGTCAGTTCAGCGGATTGTCGAACGGGAAAGGGAGTATATTCTCCCTTCACTGAAGGCAACTGCCAGTGTCTCGCGGTGTAATGGTCAAACACCGGATCAAACGCTCGCCGCTCTGGATGCTATGATATCCAGGATGCAAGGCCTGAAACGGAAAATGGAGAACTTGCAACAGGAAGAGAAAAATATTCATGGCCAGTCAAAAAAGCGTATACAGCATCTGGAAAACCTTCATCACATACATAGTTTGGCAGATGTCAAGTATGATCAGTGGTCGAGGGTCCGGTTAGATAGACTTGTGGCAGACTATATGCTGCGGTCGGGCTATACGGAAAGTGCCCGGCAACTGGCCCATGAGAAGGATGTCGAGGATCTCGTAGATCTCAATGTTTTCATCCAGTGCCAGCGGGTTGCTGAAAGCTTGCGCCGTGGAGAATCTAAGGATGCTCTGCAATGGTGCAATGAAAACAAAGCAGCGCTAAAGAAGAGCCAGGTTTGTGTCCGGGTTCACATAAATTACGAACTGGCTTACTGACATTCGATTGCAGCACAATTTGGAGTTTGAGCTACGTTTGCAGCAATATATTGAAATGGTAAGGACTGGTGACAAAGGGAAGCTTGTGGAAGCTATGGTACACGCAAAAAAATTCCTTAGCCCTTATATCGAATCGCAATCAACAGAAATTCATCGGGCGGCAGGCCTTTTAGCTTTCCCCCGGGACACAATTGCCGAGCCGTATAAGGTATTATATCATTGCCTAGATCGGTTTCTTCATAGACTCTAATAACGTATGACCAGTCGATGTACGCGCCTGATCGGTGGAGTTACCTTTCTGACCTCTTTGTTCGCACTCACCATGAACTCTTGTCGCTGCCGTCGCGCCCCTTACTACACATTGCTCTGTCTGCCGGGCTATCAGCTCTCAAGACACCATCTTGCCATTCGGCTTATACGTCTTCAAGCTCTAATTCTCTGTCCACTACGACGACGGTCTGTCCCATATGCTCAACTGAGTTACATGAGCTTGCGCGCAACATGCCCTACGCCCACCATACCAAAAGTTATGTCGAGACCGATCCGATTGTTCTACCAAATGGTCGAATTTATGGCCAACAGCGCTTGTTAGAAATGAGTAAAAAAGTTGGTTGCGTTGAAGTCGGCAAGGTCAAGGACCCTACAACCGGCGAAGTTTTTGGTGAGAATGAATTAAAAAAGGTTTACATCATGTAGCCATGGACCCGACTCTCGTCATTTTCACTCGCTCTCTTTTCGGGATGAACCGCAGACTGCATGGAATAAGAAGTTTCAGTTTCTCTAGCCTCTCAGTCACTATCATCACTAGTCCATGGTCTTGATCTCTTATTCCTCGAAGTTTTACCCCTCTTTGAGGATTGGAAATCCATCGTAGGCACTATTCGCTCTTCCTTTAGCTCAAATACATACATTCTAGCTTCCCTATCTTCTCCTCTCCAACCACCCCTTCCTCCATTTTTCGCTTCAATTTCGCCCAAGGTCCGAGCATGAGAGTATCCTCTGTAGGATGCCCACGGAAACCTAAAGCTAGTAACAACCCTTAGACCAGCATGCGCGCGAGGTCCTTGATGTTCCAAAGAGTGTACGGCTCTCCTTCGAATAGTGTGACTATGATCTGACCAGGCTCATTCCGGAGTCGTCTGTTCTCTTGTGCCATGTCTTTTTGCGAGCCCAGCATATCAGCGTTATCCTCATCATCTAAGTCAGATCCGCTTTCGGTGCTAAAGTCCCACCCATCCTCGTTTACATTGTCGCTCGTTTCGGGACGAGACGACAGCAGCGGTACGCAAGTTTTGAAAAACGAAACCAAAAGTTCTTGGTTGGCACGAACTTGTCGATTTACATCGGTAGACAAGCCTCCAACATGGGGAAAATTGAAGCAAATAATGTCCCATGGTCCACCTCTGGCTGAGGGGAGGGTTGCAGTGCCGCTGCTCTTCTTGGCGTCTTGCCATGCAGGGCGTTTACGTTCCTGGCGAGGGAGTCCGAAGCGTACTTCTTTCCCTCCTCCAGAAGCGTGACCAAGTTTCCGAGCGTCGACTGAAAAAAGGACGTTGGACCGGCGACGTTGTCTTGGTTTGTCTTGATCTAGTCCTTTTTCGCCCCCTCCTCCATGTCTCTCATAATCATCGTCAAGGTAGCATTCTTGGTTTTGACTTTGGTTTTGGCTCTCTAGTTCGATAACGATACTTGAGTTCGAGGTATTGTCTTTCCTCTTGGGGGCGCCACTAAGAATTCCACGAACATTTGGTTCGGCCTGGGGATACTTGCTGTACAATACTTCTTTAGAATCGTAGCATGTAGCCAAGACATTCTTGCAGCAATGCTGGTCAACTAAAGAGCGGGCAAAAGAGAAGTCACCTGCGCAGGCCATTAGTTGTGGAAGTATAAACACTACATTATTGTACAGCATGATGACAAACCCCTAAATAAATCCATGAGGGGGTGTACCATACCTTCTCCGACTAACAGAATTCGATCATTTCTCCTAAAGGGAATAATCGGCCGTTGACGCAAAGGGTTCTTCTTGCCAGCATTCTGTCTAGGTGAAGACGACGCTGAAGGAATAGTACTCGAAAGCTTGGAGAAGGTGTGCATTTTACGAGGTTTTTTTGGATTGCCACCTCCATGGCCAGTGTGCAATCGGGCCCTCTTCGACTTCGGCATGCTGTCTAGTGTCTGTAAGGTACACTGAGGTAGAAGATAGCCCGGCGGGCAGAGATTGATAATAGTCAACTTGACGCTTGTGCTGCACGAATTAGGCAGAGCGTTTGATTCGATCTGTTCCAAGAAGGGGCTGCTTGCAGACCCTGAAGACACACCGAGCTGCTAGATTTAGTTAGGGGTCTTGACGATTTTTAAAGAGCGCCTTACAAAGCGCCGGCCGGTTCCTTCCGGTCAATACTGACCTAACAATACATGCTGGTGTAGTTATTGTACCGGCAGGTTAAGTTAACGATAGGTCAGGAAAGGGTAAAGCTTGAGGAAATCAGAAGGGCAAAAAAAGTTCAGAAAAGTTCTACTCTCACCGAAGAAAAAATCGGACCCTCCCCGACTGGGAGTCGAACCCAGGTCTCCCGCGCTTGTTCTCTTATGAGATGACAAGCGGAAATCATGACCGTTAGACCATCGAGGATGACATAGATAACAGTTTTCATATATCTATCATATTCTCACAATAAAATAAATGTATCATTATACAGCTTCCCATGTACGGAGTGGATAACAAGCAGATAGTCGTATTGATGTTGGTGTTAGGGGGGCTGATATAAGTCATGAAGGGTCAGGTATTACAAAAATTCCTCATCCATACGCCATGTGTAAGGGCTCTGAATAAACGGAGATCTACATACAGTGAACACAACCCATATGAAACTGCTTCTGCCTCCCTGGGGGGTATGTTAAGTAGCTAGTTTCCAGAAAGTCATTGTTCATTTCTGGTATCTGTTTTAGGGTGGAGTATAGAGGATGGATGAGTAGGAGGATTACAGCAAATCTGAAGGGGGGGGAAGAAAACAATATAGAACAAGGCGACAGGGTACGAATGATTAAATAACTTCGCCTCTTGACTTGTAAAAGGGTATTTCACACAACTTCACCTGTTACATTAAGACACTACGCTAGCGTCAAGCTTTCCCATGATAGTATCATGGCTCTCATATGGTGGTTCATGTATACATAGATTTTACAGAGCACAAGGTCAGAGTCGCCTGATCACAATGCGAGGCCATCCATACCTAACGTAACCGGCAAGCGACCAGCCAGCTCTTGTATTCCATACAATTTGGCCCTTTTTAACACTCGAATAAATAATTATATATAACATATTATATGTAAAGTAGAAAAGTTAATATAATTGATAGTTTGGATTATATTAAAAAAATTACGGCTGTATTTTTGATATTTTGGATCTGTAGCTTAAAAAAGAAAAAAATTATTAAAAATTAGTCATAGACTTATATACCTACTTTTATAATATATTTTAAATTTTATATCTTCAATATTTTTGGTTGCTGAGATAGTTGAGTGTCAAAAATAGCCAATTTGTATAGAATACCAGAGGTGGCTGCTCGCTCGGGATGGCCACTTGCTCGTGGGTTACGTTAACACATAACCGACCGGATTACACATCTCGACATACGAGCCTAGACAGAGGAACTCGGAAAATCGTGCAGTAATGTTATCATCCAATATATTCTGCTTGCATCATCCTTAAAGAGCATCCACTACTGCGCCACAGCCAGTCAATAGCACGAGCTCGTCCCTGGAGAGAACTTTCAGCAAAGGATAATTTCTATAACCTCAGTAAAAGAAGATAAAGGTCCATATATACAGATTCCAACCCTGAAAGGAGGCAAAAAAGAGGCTTTTCTCTCGCTCAATGATCAAGACTCCTAGACATCTTATTGCACCCAAGATCGCAATAAATACCCCCCCTCTCCCCCCAAGCTTCTTCTCACACGAGATCTAGAACAAACCATGCCCCAACATTATAACATGTTACGTGCAACGAAATGCGCTGCCAGCGCATCAAAAAGAAATGATATGTGGAATTATCAGCACGGACATCAACGCCATAAATAGGTGAATGGGCAGCGATGAGGTCAGACGTGTTAAGAAACCAGACATGTTAAGTAGATTGTCGAGAAGAATGTAAGCACACCAAGCCAGCCCTCAAAGAACACCAACAACCGGAATACACCTAGACTGTAATGAAATGCATGTATCCATACAACGTACAAGTAATGTACTGACTCGTGGCGCCAAGGAACTAAGAACATGATCCGATATGAAAAAAGTACGGAAGGAGTTAACACTCCTACGCGTAATATAGCAGTTGTCACTTCAAGACCGCAGTGAATCCCTCATACTTTGACTGCTAGCGCTGACAAGTGGATTGGAAGTCGGCAAGACACCAGTCTTTGGCTTGGCGTTTTGCTTGATCTTGGCGATCGCATATACGATTCCACTGACGAAGCCTACAACAATAGCGGAAACACCGGGAAATGTTACCGGAGCATCAAAGAAAATCAACCCTGACAGAGCGATGGGCAATTTGTTGAGGGCTCCAACCATAGAATAAGTGGTTGAGGATGTCACGCGAACACACCAGGCTGAGGTGTAAGAGATAAATACCGAGGACAAACCAGACAGGATCATCGCAAACATGATGCTACTACGGTCGGTTGTAGGGAAGTTGCGGTTGATGTTAACGGAAGACCAGTCTTCCATCAAACCTGTAAGAACAACAAGGACAGGGATCGACAGCAAATTATTATAGAACATGGCTAAGGGGAAAGTCAGCAAAAGAAAACTTGCAACGATCACTATGAATGACCACATACTATCGAAGTCCTTGAAATTGGTTAACTTGATTCTCTTGCGCATTCCTAGGACATAGGATGATGTGCAGAGACAGTTAATCAACATCCATATGTATCCAGCATTGAGTGTTGAGACTTGGGCGCTCGTATCTCCACTGCTCTCAACAGCATGCTTGATGTCGGCCCATGCAGCAATGATGGAACTGAGTACCATGAGTCCAAAGGAGAACAAGGTAAGGCCGGTAACGGAGCCACCAAACCAGAGGACCTCCCCGTAGGCAATGAGGATGATTGTTAGGTTCTTGAAGATAGTGTATACCGGGATAGAGAGGAACTGAAGCGCTTTGGAGCCAGTGTAAATCATTCCAATGAGAAGCAAACTGATAGGGAACCCTTATTGTACAACACAGATTAGTTCATTCAATAAGTGTCACAGGAAGCATTTAGAAGTACTTACACTTCTTTGCTTCATCTGCACTGAAGTCACGGTACGTGATAATACCGCAAAATTTGCACGTCTGGATCGCAATAATACAAACAATGGACTGAGTTACAGGAAAAGAGGGTCAGTGCAAATCCGAATTTAAACCCTACGTTCGCGGTGGCTTCAGTTTCTTGGTATCATACCTGAACGCAGAGAAGAAAGAAGTTGAGATTAAAGTCCAACCCAGAAAGAACATATTTGTTCATGACAGTCATCAAAATTGACGATCCACAATATGCCAATACAGGCAGGAAAGGGTTGTTGGAGAGCGAACTGGAAGGGACACTTCTAGGCTGAGGCGGCGCAGCAGCTTCGAAATTCTTGCTCCCCTGATCTATTTTATCCATCTCGATTGTATAATCATCGGTCTTCTTGCCTTCCGCCATATTATCAAATATACTGATCACCCCGAAGCAGGAGTGACTATGACGATAACGGTGAAATGGGGCGACAACAATAAAATCAAGGTAAGGCTGAAACTGCGAAGTAGAGCCGTTGTTGGCACGGGAAGTGGCGAGGCAAAGGCAGGTTTCCGAGAGTCAAGGGAGATTATCAAGTGTACCTAAAGACTGATGACAAGGAGTGTGGGGACAATAGAATCAAACCCAAAGCATAAACGAGACAACAGAAAAGCAGGTCGGCGGAGGGAGGTAGAGGGAGAGAAAGACGCAGAAGCTGAAGAGACAAGTGAAAGAAATAAAGAAAGAAAGAAAGGAAGGAAGGACTTTGGGCCGGAAGCGGCAACTTCTCATGTAATGTATGTACCTATACTTGAGAATACAACGGAAGAAGTAAGTATGGAATATGCACACATACTAGTATTTACCAGACAATGCAGGCGCCGCGCAGACTAATGTATTTCCTTTTCCGAAATTTCTTATTACTGAAAAGGGAAAGGAGATAATAAACATGAAGGAAAAGGGGCGTTAGCCATTCTGATGAGATTGCTTAAATACAAGGGGAGCTGGTACTGTACCAGTAGAACTCGATACCAGTACACAAGAATTACAACTGCCACCCACCCCTCCTGAGAGAATTATCTTTACACTGCATTGTATCCAATTAGCACATTGCCACTCCCGCAATGCAGTGAAGAGTGAAATGCCAATTCGCCCTTTTCGAACCTTGAATACCAATACTTCCACCCCGGCATTGGGTTTACACCTTACCCCGGAACCGGAGCAGCTTACACGACCCCTCCGCCCGCCGCGAGAGAAAACGCAGCTATCGATTGTCCTCTACAGACCTAACTCATTCTATTAATCTCTCTGGGCAGTCGTCGTGCGGAAAAATTTCTCTCTGCAATTCCACCACGGGTTTCGCGATGACCCAAAACATTGAGCCCAAACACTCCGTAAGAGACCAAGAGGATGAGATCGACGACGATGATTTGTTGAAGGCCTTGGAGAACGAAGATGACTCTGACTATCGGGCCCGACGTATCGAACAACTCAACGCCGAGCTTGCATCCGCCCAAAACAACCGGTCAATGGGCTCTGGCCCTGGCCAAACGACAATCATCCAAGATAGCCTATACCCAACTCTTGAAAGTGACCAGATATTGCTCAACTTCACAACGGATACGCATCGGTGTGTGATCCATTTTGCACACCCTGATTTCGCACGCTGTGGCACCATGGATGAACATATGCGGGCTTTAGCAACACGGCATTACGATGTGCGCTTTGCCCGCGTTGATGTTAGGGATACTCCGTTCGTGGTGGAAAAGCTGAAGATACGCGTTCTCCCTTGTGTGATCGGGTTTAAAGATGGAATTGCTGCTGAGCGTATAGTCGGCTTTGAAGGCCTTGCTTTGGGCGGGCGTGATGGGACCGACAGCTTCAGCACGGCAACTCTTGAAAAGAGGCTGTTATGGAAAGGAGTTCTAGTGCAGGCGAAGATTAATGATGGTAATGATGACTCCAGTTTATCTGATGCAGATGACGAGGTTGAGGACGACGGCAAACGACGAACTCATGGAAAAGGGGCCATCCGCGGCGGGGGGGCACGGTATAGCAGGGACGACGAAGATGACGATTGGGATTGAAAAGGGGTAATTACTGCCGTCTAACCCTTATATTCACGAGATCTTATGCCACAATATGCGCGGAGCTTCTAGCATAGAGCATAAGGCCCAGGATCTGTTTGTTGAGACATATAGCTTTGTTGTGGCTGATCGCTGGGTGCACAGTTAACAAATGGCTGTCCTGAAATTGAAACGAGGTGCTGTAGGTTTCACGTTCTCCCAGCCCTTGACCACTTAGACAGCCTTCCACTAAGTATTGGAAACCACATTTCGAATGGAACGGGTATAATAATCACTGTAGTCGCATAGGTATGAGCTTGCTTGCTTGCAAGTATGGAAATGAACAGATTGCATAGCATTTTCAGTTGCTGTGGCTGATGCCAGAGAACTAAACCTGTTGTGAACTAACGCTGTTTTTCTAAGGTTGCTGAAAAACCTGGCCAAGCCTTGAACGATGACCCTACTATCAATGCAAAGTACAATTTATCGGATCACACGTGTCTATTTCCTTGAAAAGTATAGGGCAAAAAAAAAAAAAGAAAAGAAAAGAAAAGGAAAGAAAAGGAAAAAGAAAACTTATACTGAATGAATATCGAGCTAAAGTTACAGGTAGTACGAGTGGAACAAATCGCGAGAGACCATACCAAGCGAAGAAAAAAGTAAGACGCTTCTATAACGTAGAAGAATGTCACAAGAACCACAGAATATTAGAGTTAGGATTTATACAAGGCTCTCAGCACGGTCTCCACAAAACATTCATCAGTTCGACATTGGCGTTTGGCAGTTTGAGCAGGACGAAAAAGGAGAACATATTGCTTATCCGGGTGTTCATGATGGGGATAAAAGGAAGCATGAAAAAAGACGTTAATGAAAGATATCGAATCAGGCTTAGATAGCCACGTTTCTCATTTCGCCCAAGATCTCCGCGTCCAAGGCAGTGCCAGGAGATCCATGGGTCGGCTCCTGCTTTTGCATCTTCTCAGTCTCCGGCTGTTTTTGCTCAACACCTTTGCCAACAACACCTTCGGCCTCTTTACCCACATGTGTCGACACTTCCATCAGATCTTCGCTTTGTGCTTTCTTTGTATCATCACTTTTTATGACGTCCTCTGACAGGTCGCTATCCGCATTTGTGTGTACAGGACTTGGAGCCTCTTCCGTGACGCGAGCAAGAGGGCTGGATATACCAAACTGCGTCTTGGGACTTTGAGTAGATCCGCGATTGGGAAAGCGGTGAGGCGATCTCCCACGTTCTTCACTAGGGGTTGGGCTCCCATAAGGGGACTCCTTTCCAGACTTACTACCGGTATTCAATCCAAGACCGTTAGGGCCCTTGCGACGTGGTGGCCTCCGACCAAACTTCTGATCTGTACGCCAGCGTAGAATTTCCATGTAGGGAGGCTCAACATTCTGGGCCTTGAATTCCAATAGTTTGAGTTCATTCGTCTCTTCATCCACAGAAACCTTGCCGCTGCAGAGGTCATCGGCCACAACTGCTAGGAAAGAGGCCCAAGACCGGGCGATAACGTATTTGCAGTCATAATCCCGACCGAATATAATGACTTGGCCCCACTTCCCTGCAGGTCCCGGTGCAAGATCGATTGCAATACAATTTCCACCCCAGTCACGAGCCATAGGAATCCAAGCAGGATGGGCATACGCTTTCTGAACGGCACCGGAGGGCTGGGAGTCTTGTCGCTCGAGAAGATCCTGTCTCCACAACGGATTTGACCCTGTAGTAGGAGCTGGAGGGGCAGCCGAAGAAGAGCCTGCTGCAGCTTTGGGAGAAATATTGATAATGCCGGATGAGCTGAGGAATTCATCATTGACAGTTCGCCAGTTCTTCCATTCCTGGACTATCTCTTCGCAGTCCAGAAGCATACATCCAAAAACCACACCGGTGGGCAAGCCCGGACGCTCCTGTCCGTCATGAGCCATCAAAGATTCCCGAACCTCCAACGGTAGGCTACAGTCCAAGTCATGCTCCAACTCATTGATATCATTCTGAGTACAACCTTCGCAAAGATTGTCGTAAAGCTCCTCGTAGTTATTCTCTAGCCATCGCTCGATCTTTCTCCATGAATGAGTGACTGGGGGGGGTGGCGGCGCGCCATCATGGAAACTTTGCATTTGGATCTCTGCCGCCCCATCCACTCCGGGGTCGGTCGAGCGTCGCTTCTGGGAGGAGAGCGATCGCATGCCGGGCGAGTAAGGACGAGTAGGGGAGCCAATTCCAGTAGGGGAGCCGGTCCAACCGTTAGATGTCGTTGCGCCTTTGGGCTGGTCATCCTCGTAGGTCTCCGTCAGGTCAGGTCGCGACTCAATGGCGCTTGTTGCAATCGATGTAAGAGGCTCATGGCGACTCTGGCTGAGAGGAACATGTTTACCTGTTCGATAAGGAGAGTCGTGGGATGCATGCCGATCATAAGAAGTCATTGTATGCCAAAAGGAACGCCATGCCGAAGTAATTCTGTTGTCGAGTTAGAGGCGGGCATTCACCCTGGGCCCGGGGGAGGGGGGCCAGGTCTCTCTGCGATCGAAAGAGATACTCACGGATTCGCCATGATGAAAACTTTAGTAAAATGAGGGCAGACTGATCTCAAAAAGAATCTACTCCTCCCGAGTTTTTATGAGTACCAAACACTGGTCATTGGATAATTGTGGAGTTCGTGGCCAGGAGTGGAAGGGAAGGGACGGGAACAGGAGGAAAGGGAGACAATGTTGAATGTTGAATGTTTCCAGCAGAGGGTACGAGGGCCGAAAGTAGGAGTAGATAACCAGGTGGAAGGATAGTGAGGGAAGTTCGGAATGTCGTATGGGGGGTGCTGGTTCGAAGGCCAGAGAAAAAGTGTGTTTTTAGAGAAAAAGAGAAGAAGGGCGTAAAAAAAAACAGAGAGGGAGGGAGGGAGATTCTATCCAAGGGAGAGATGGGATTGTGATAATGGGCAATGACCGCTCTCAACTCTCAACTATCCTGAAGAACAGACTATTAATGGTGGTATTTCTTGTTCACGTCCGGGCTGTTTTTGTTTCTGCTTCTCCCTCTTATACTTATTCGTCCTTCTCTTGTTCCTCTTTTCCTTGGGGGAGATCCTCTTGGTTAGTGTTGTTAGTGGGTTGGCGCGACGATGGCATCCACGATTCGTTCCTCGACCCCTGGAAGGAGCCCGGAACCAGGGATGGAGCGTTTCCATAACATACGGTAGTACGGTAATTTATGAAATCGAAAAAATTAATATCCGAAGTATGTATGTATGTACCTTTGTACATACCTGACAGGTATAACAATGTACGTATGTACATACATACGTACAGTACATCATTATACTAAAGTACACATGTATTATGTGTATATACAATGCACACAGTAGGTATTGTTTAGGTCTGGTGCACCTTATTTTACAATGCTTGATCTCGATACCTACTGTACAGTATATCTGTCTGTATGTACGTAGCAGACTCTACCACATATATATACCATTCTGCCACTGTGCAGTGGCTTTGAAGCCTTCTACTCTCTCATAAATGGTCAGGAAGGGCACAGTTTGGGAAGGAGTCCAGGGGCCAAATAAATGTGCTAAAATACTATCGTAGTATTCTGTAGTGTAACAAGTTATTCACCTGTGCAATATACATTGTACTATACTATATTCTGTATAACCTTCCAGCACATGGACTTCTCTATATTCTTTTTCATTAACATGAACTATTCCATCTTGCCCGGTCATAACAGGACAGATCCAATCCATTGGGCTGTATATAAGCTAAGTACAGAAGAATACTCACTGATTATTGTCACAGTGGTCTTGCAGAATCTGGAATCACTTGATTTCATTGAGTTTATCGGTTTGCCCTTTCTCTCACTCTTCCTCACACCCAGATATATGTTCTCCTCTCTTTCTCTCTCTATGCGCGCGCGTGTGTGTTAGATTTTGTGGTTTTATTGATTATAAAGGAAAAGTGTTTAATAGTTTCTATATACACTGCATTCTACATTTCCTATTGTAGAACCTGCAAGTTTCTATAGTTCCATTCGTGATTGCTCTTGGAATTCAGGGAATACTAGGAATATCTCCTGTCAAGAGACTTGCAGATTCATACTGCCATATAGAGTACTCTGTAGATTTATGTACTATTCTAATAATTACAGATATCTTGAGTTAAAGGTCTGTGCCACCTATTCTTATGTATGGCGCGTACCTTTAGTATAGGTATAGTACTACTGTGTACGGTGGTATAATCATACAGTATCGTCGCCACAAGTTACAAATTTGACGGCTCGAAAAGCCAACAGTGGATCTACATACAGTGCAATGGAGATCTAGTACTAGGTGTACTTGAAGCGGTGGCGTTCTAGTTAAATACCAATTTAACGATTCTTTTACAATGCCATACGAGTAAAGGAATATTTACCCCAGTGAATTGACTGTGGCAACAGTTTTGCCTGCAGTATGTCATTCAAGGTGCAGAAGCGCAGTCAGGGCACTTTGTCACCGCATGTTACCAGTTCTTTGTCCCAAGAATAACTATGTATATTGTGGGATAAACCTGAGTAACTGTCCAAACAAACCTCCACGAAGGTAATGAAATCCTTAGTTTTGAGGTCGTAACTTGCCGTACAGAGTGGGGACGACCGGTGGTGCCTAGTCTCCGGCGCTACTCTGCACAGTTTGACCCGTTTTGCAGTTGACCTTGTATTCGAGTTCTGGACTGTCACCTGTCCCTTTCCTGGATTCTGATAATCTCTACCTGGTACATCTCTGAATACACATAATTGCTGGTGGGTGTCAGTGTGTAAGACTATCTCCAAGCCCACACTGCAAGTGGATTTGCAGTGACTACAATGCCTTCATGAGGTTCCTACCCATTTTTTAATGTTCGAGGCTAGCATAAAGCGTGTCATTCGATGATCTAAAGAGCAAGATAAACCAGTAGTTCGGATAGTTTCGTGGTAACGAATGCATAGGTATTCAGAACGAGAGTAGAGGTGTCATATAGACACGGAGACTGAGGTATTGAACGTAAGATCAGGGAAAAGGAAAACCAAACAATAAAATGGACGAAGAAAGCTTAAACCATGAGAAAGTCATCCCTGGACTAGACATTGTAAATGTGATAAGAGACAGGTGTGGCATCAGATGAAAAGCATAAAAAAGCTATCAGGGGGAAAGAAAGAAAAAGAGATTAAAGTTGGCACCGACAGCTAAACGAGTGACATCAGGGGTCCCTGATCAGTCATCCAACAATATCCCAAGCAAACACACTCCGAGAAAGAGCACTGATAAAGGCAACCGGACTCCGCGTTCGATACAAATGAAGGGTATAAAGACGGCCCGCTGAAGGACCAATAAACCCATCAACCTATCAATTATAACAATGACCACGACTAGCGTGAACCGCGGAAAGAACACTGAGAATCTTGGTCATAGACGATGAGAGACTGCTACCGAAAACATTAGACTAGATGAAAGAACCTCAGGGTTCATGACATGATGTCATTCAGCATGGAAATGAAACTTGAAAAACGGAGCATCGATTGCTACGCACAAATGCAATGCAGAATGCCAGAAAGCGTAAACGACGAAAGCAAAAGAAGGGATATGATATTACGCATATGAACTCTGAATACCGCTAGACGATAGGCCTGGGTTCACATCAAGCTTCAGAATTCTCCGCAGATCGTCTTCCATTTTCTTAGTGTCGAGGGCCTTGGTGGACGTGTTTGAGACTCGCAACGTAGGTGACTGGTGAACTGGCGGATAATTTGGACTCTGAACGGGATCGATGGCGAATTTAGTCTGATTGTACACTGGAGAAGAATATGTTTCTCCTGAGACGTTTACCATGTTCCCTGGGATTGATGAAAGAGCCCCTTTCTTGGAAGCCGAGGTTTGACCCTGCGAGAGCTGAGAGTTGATAGTGCATGAATTGGAAAATGACGACTGCCATCCGTTCCCGACCGTTGATTGATTCTGCCCGGGCAGCACGTTGCTATAAAGAGCTACTGAGGGGCCAGAGGCTGTCCTGGGTGCAGTCGCAAAATAAGGCACACTGCCAGTGGGGGTAGACTGCTCGTTGACACCGTTGGTTTGAATAGAGGATGATTTTGACACATACGAGGGCCTCTGGGGACGTGGGTTGAGTAACAAATCCTTCAGGGCCTCGGTTTTGGCTCTTCGTTGCTCCTCATCAAGTTCTACCACAGAGTGAGAGGGAAAACTGGCGGATCGCAATGCATCCATGCGATCTTTGTAAGATGCAGCAAATGAGGGTCCTATCTGCGACTTGTGGGGGGCCAGATAGTCGCCCAACGGCAATAACCCTTCTGTAGAGCCATTGGGTTTGCGTTGCGGCAGAGTCCTGGAATCCGTGTGTGGGGAGCGAATCCTAATGCTTGCCTCGGGACTACACTGTGGCTGAGAATTTCTAGCTTCAACTGCAGCTTTAAAAAGGAAATCCAAGGGTGTTGGCTGCGGTTCTTCGGTTTGGAACTGTGGGCGTGGCCTCAGCTTTGAAGGCGTCGCCTCATATTCTGGCCCAGTTTCGTATTTATCGCCATCTGCTTCTATTGCCGGGGCAAGATCGGGATCCGGTATCGACTTCGAGAAAAAGCTTGGGATTGGAAGGGAAGAGGGAGCTGGGGAGGCATGGAACGTCGGGCCGGCATAGTGAGGGCTGTCTTTTAACTGAGGCGTGGTGATATTGTTAGAATATGAAGATGTGCGGCGGTGACCGGTTCTTTGCGCCGGTGAAACCTTAGATAGATCTCGTGGCTTCTTGGTAGATCGGCCACTTTTCTTCTTAGATAGATTGGCAGAGGAATCAGTAGCTGTTCCTCCTGGGCTCATGTTCCTCGGAGGCGATGAGGGAGGAGTCGTTAACAGAGTAGCCCTTTGTGTAGTCGGCGTCGCATTTCGTTTTGGGTTGCGCCGGTTGTTCCGAGGGCCTTTTGGTGTTGGAGTCGGCGATAGATTCGACATTGTGACTGGTTGGCTTAAAGATAGGTAGTCAGAGAAGCTTGCAAGAGGGAAAGGAAATGTTGTATTCTCAAAAGGAAAAAGGAAAAGAGGAAGAAGAAAATGATAATAGTTGACAGCGCAAAATATATAGGGTCGAATAGGCTGCAGTACTGCCCAGCAGTCTGTTCTGATCACGTTAACGCCGGTTGTGGATAAGGACAATAAGATCAGTCATGGAGCGCCGATAGCACTGTAAGAGCCTAATTTGTATTTGAATGATAACAAATCGGTTCAAGAGGCGCGAATGCGTCTATTACTGGAATCAAATAATAAACAACGAAAGAAGGATGCCAAAACTCCTAGGCATGCTTGTTTCTAGACAGGCAAATAATAGAGAGAGTGGAAGAAAAGCAGAGGGGCATTATCCCAGGACTTCGATGTTGTGATGTGATGAGGTAGTTGAAAATGGACATTGGGAGGGCGGCTGGGGCATTGAAGGCGGGGATCGGTTATGACTAACGGCTAAGGCGGCGAGAGTGCAACGCCTCAACCTCGCTCTGCCCAACCAAGGTGCAAACAAAACAAAAAGCCCAGGTGTACTGTGTGGAAGGAGGACTTCAAAGGACCAACTTACTTTCGCTCATCTGTTATTTTCTTTTCTCAAACACTATACAAGGTGCGTATCAAGCCTTAAAGAAGAATATTTATATCACTTAGCCTTCAGAATCTATCAACTTACATACGTCACCTAGCCGTCTTCACCGCAACATCTGGCTATCGCAAGTCATTTCTCTACTACGTAATCGGCATACATCCGTGCCCTCCAGGCATTCCTGCTCTGAGCTGTTAGGCACTTACAGCAGTTCTGTCACAATAGACAGGCCAAGGAAGCTAGGGCAATCAGTCAGATATTTAAAATGGCGGATGTGGAGATGAAAGAAGCTTCTGCTGGTACTTCGGCCAAGGGAAAGGGAGTATCTAAGGCTTCCGAAGGTGCGAGTGATGGCAAAAAGAAGTTCGAAGTCAAGAAATGGAATGCGGTGGCCCTTTGGGCGTGGGATATCGTTGTCGATAATTGTGCCATTTGCCGGAATCATATCATGGACTTGTGTATGACCCTGTCCTTTGCCACAGCAGAAGTTAAAACTAAGCATAAGAGTTTTAGGTATCGAGTGTCAAGCAAACCAAGGCTCATCTACGACCGAGGAGTGTACAGTTGCCTGGGGGATTTGCAACGTGCGTCCAGATATTCCAAGCTTCTTGACAAACTTAAGATTAACCCAACTGTTTTCCTTTAGCACGCGTTTCATTTCCACTGCATATCCCGTTGGCTGAAAACTCGCCAGGTCTGTCCCTTGGATAACCGAGACTGGGAATTTCAGAAGTATGGTCGGTAAACGCAGTTCTATAGAGGATCTTCTGATTGCTGAAGCCACCTACATGGTGCCATAAATTTTTATAAGCAAGAGACGGGCAACAAATGGTCTGGATGGCGTTCGGGTTTGATTTTCACACCTTTGTGGTGGTTACTATGATGATAAATGCGGCTCCTTGGTTGTGTAGAGATAAATAGTTCGACTCAATACCTTCTGGGTCGATCTCTCCTGTATCATGCTTGTACTTCATGCCCCTTTAGTTCCATCTACCATGATCCGTGCGCCACCGGCATTTCCTGCTAACGAAACAAGCCATTTCTCAGGGTTCTTATTGTATATAGGCCAAGGAGGGATGACAGCCAGTGCGGTTACCAGTGTACCTGCCAAGCTGACCCAGAGTGTGAGATGTATGTCCCGGCAGATATATCCGGCGAAGAAAGCAACAACCTTGACACGACGAGCGTAAGCGAATCAAACCAACTATCAATGCAGACTATATTTGGCGATAGAAAGATCAGAAATGGACTAGCACTTTACCCCAGATATAATTAATAGAGCCGTAGACAATATTTCAGCTATGCGCTGGCCGTGAAAGTCCTATCCATGTAAAATTGTCTGGTTACCATCTTATACAAATGATTGGTGGTAGTGACAAACATACTATCTGGCCTTCGAAGATATTCTGGACAGATGCAAGAAAATCATCCATAGCGAAAGAGTGTCTGGGAAGTGTTTTGGTTGTCTTTCTTTCTTTCTTTCCTTTGTCCCCTAGAGAAAAGGATAGAGGTAAAAATAGAAAAAGGGCAAACACCAAGGCAAATAATAACTATGAATGTTGAAGGTGACTGTTGGAATCCCTTGGTAAAGAGCCGTAACGTGCTCATGGAGTAGGCGGAGATTAACCAATTCGGCCTTTACCGCCTTGGCCAAGGTGTCAAACTGGCATGACCAATTTGGTGCATTTCAATGGGGCCGGGCAGAATGTTTTAGTGAGAGGAATTAGAAAGTGAAAGCGAGAAACTACTAAAAGTAAAAGGGTAAGGTTATAATAAAAGAGAAAAAAAAGGTCAAGGGCAAAAACGGCGCAGCCTCAACTTCACTTTATACTTCTCTAAGAACCCTACTTATAAATTTTGTTAAAATATGCTAACTTCACCCACCCCTTACCAACACGGCGGACGAAAGAACCACTTTGAAGGAATCCCATTTTAGAACGTAGACATGGTTAAAGTAACGGATTATTTTATTTTTCACCGCTAATTATCCCTATGTAGGGAGCACATTTGATGAAAGATAGGCAATGGTGTTAATAATGGACTGTAGCCCCATCCTGGGCAGGTTCAAGGAGCTTCCATTGGCAGGTTATATTATTGGAAGCAAAGTTAGCAATGATCCGTTCTGCGATCTCAGTGAACCTATCAGTAGCCAAAGCTAATATTGTTGGCCCTGCTCCCGATAGGCATATTCCAAGCAGACCTGGCTGCGTGCTCGGGTTCATGGATTTGAGTATTTCCGTTAGACCTGGGATAAGGGTCTTCCGGTACGGCTGATGAACCTTGTCTTGCATGGCTAGATAGATCATGTCTGGATCGGGAGGAGACGTGCCCAATGCTGCAGGGAGTAAGGCAGCGCGCTGCAAGTTGAACACCTATGGAGGATACGTTAGTTCTTAGGAGCTTGTCTATTGTCCGACCAAATGGGAAGAAAGAGCTTACAACATCTGCTCTTGAATAGGCAGTGGGTAGGACACATCGCGCGTTGGCGGTTGGCACCACAAAATCTGGGATGATTGCAATGGCCTTAATTTCCTTAGCCCACTGAAACTTCCTATAGTGGCCGATACCAAGTGGAGGCTCCGGAGGCCGTATGCCAGTATCGATACCCCCGGCCGGGGCGGGTAAAACTTCACTCAGTGGAATTTCTATGCGGGCTATATCCTCAGGCTTGAGTTCGTTCAAGTAAGTTCCGACGAAGCCTCCAAAGAGAGAAGCAGCGACATTGTCCGGGTGCCGCTCTGTTGAGGAGTAAGTCAATCAGTCGAGGAGCTAACGGCAATAAGACGATCCAATTTTCATATGGAGGGGTCGGCTTGCAAGACCGTCACAAGGGATCATCTACTCAGTTAAAGGCCAAACTTACCGATCATTAAGCAATAATCTAGTAGCCGTTCCTTGCTCAAACCAAGGCGGCCTACTTCGTTGCCCAACATCACACCCGCCACCACTGCAGTACCAGACGAACCGAGACCCCGACCCAGAGGAATAGGATTTACAATATGGACATGGGTCTCCGCGGGGAACGCTCTCTGATCATGGCACCGAAGTACATACAGAGCTACACGGGTGATCAGGTTCACCTCCGGATCCAGACTGATCTCCTCCGTGCTGTTGCTTTGATCATCATACGTGACGACACAATTCAGAGGAGGTTGTGAGGCTTTTGCGGAATCAATAGTGACATGAAGTTCAAGGTGGAGCGACAATGCCAGACCGATCACATCAAATCCAGGACCAATGTTGGCAGATGAACAGGGCGTTTTGATAACAAATGAGGAAGAAGTCATGGTGGGAAAAATATTTGTGTGAAGGATCTCTCTCTCTCTTTCTGTCTTACTCTCCCACTCACTTATTTCTGTTCCGTGCTGTTCTTTTCTCTTTTCCTTTCCCCCACTTGGCTGGACGAAGGGTTTGCACACTCAATTCAATCAACCGTAAAAGATTTATACAACAAAATGAAGAAATGGGTTAATATGTTATGTCAACCCGATTCAAAGCACTGTTCTTTTCTGAGTATTTAAATATGTATGTAATTGGAATGATATCTGCCACTGGTGGGGAGTATGACTCTTTCAATCGCGTTCTTGGCATGCCCCAAGGAAAAAATTATTTATTCGCCGATTTCGGGACAGTAGAAGGAGGTCCTCCGTAAGGCTCGGGGCTGTCGATTACACTCGTTGGGCATAACTAAAGCCAAGCTATACAACTATACCCCTTCGGACTAGATCTAGATTATGTATCCTAACCAACACAGTAGATTCCAATCAGAGCTGACCGATATTCAACACCCAACGATCCATCCCATGAGCTGCACGTCATGCAGGACAACGGTACACCAATCAAATGATATCTACCCTTATTTCAAACCCCTAAACAAATAATCTTCAAGACGCACACGCTGGAAATGCTCATTTCAATATCGAGACTTCATTCAGCACAGGGTACAGGTGCTGCCTAAAGATGGAGCCGCTATTAATCAAAATCGCTTGTAAAATCTATTACAATAAATGACGATATAAGTCCCATTAGATAACAATATCTGAATTTCCCAATTATATTTGTTACTAGTTGACGACGCCATCTTCATTAAAGAGCACTAAATGATACCTTGGGATTGTATTTGTAACCATACCCCAAATGACCTTCACTTCAAACTTAGTACGTCGTAGATAATCCCGGCGGACGGTGGCCGATGCGCCCCAGTAAGAGACGGTACCTACTTGTAGTGCGGTGGCCTGGACTTTTACCCCCAAGCGGAAATTTCTACCCGCCGCCCCTTCTTTTTTCTTTTTTTTTTTTCTCGCCCTCTCTTTACGCTTCAGTTTTCTTTTTAAAGACGGCAAGTTCCCTTTCCGCTGTCGTTTCTGATACAACTCATCTCGACTCACCTCTGTAGGTGACCAACTACTGGTTTTCATCCTCTTTTCCACTTTCACATCTCTTTTCTTGTTTCTTCATTGTACGCGTGATCTGTCATCTATCGCCTGACACATTGTTGTTGGGCCTCCCGTCAGTATCCGTGTATATCTTTTTGTGGGAACAACATACCATTTGCGACATCAGAGTTTGGTCTCCATCTTCGAGCTGGTGACGATCCCCGCCACTCATCTCTGAACACATCAGCCTATCTGCACCAAATTCCAGAACATCAGATCTTAAAAGTTTCCTAGTTTCCTACATTTGGATCTCTTTCTTTGGACCTCGGTTTTTTTTTTCTTTTTCTTTTTTTTAATTATCTTATTATCTTATCTTATTATTATTATTATTGTTGTTGGTGTATAGACTCCTCTTTCAAAATCTGCAATCGTCCTGGAGTCTCTGGGGGTGTCAAATTCATTGATAGAAAGTCTTGCGGTGAATTGAAGGACTCTTGCTAAGAGTATACCCCGTCAACTCACCACTTCCCTGCAACTCTGGAGCGGCAGCGCTCCTCTTCGCACCACTCAGTCAAGTTGGCGGGCATTCACTACTATCAGTCCTCTTTCCTCCACCCTCTTCTAGGCCCCAAGTTCAGGGTCTTCTGCGGGGGCGACACCAGACCCCCATAACCGGTCTCTTCCAGCGAGTTTGAAGCTGGCACACGGACGCGCGTCGGTAATGCCAGGCCCTTGCGAGGGGTCTGGCTGATGGACGGAGGAACAATTGCCCCTGGGATTTGTACATTTGCCTTCGCCTTATTGGAAGGCATTGATAATAGTTGAGGAATTTAGCGCGAATACGCCTTTGCTATCTCCGCAGACTGCCACGCTTTGAATCGGTAAGCCTGGTGTATACTCTAGTTGACGACCAGCGTCACAAAAAATGTCCGAATCACCCAAGTCGGAAAAGTACATGTTTTTAAGCAGGTTCAGTACGCCGGTGCCTGAACTGGATGACCATCGGTTTCAATTGGATCCACCCCGTATCGAAGCTACTCCCGATATGACGCTTAGTCGGCAGAATACCACACCGCAGAATTTGAATATGGAGACGCCACAGCGTTCAGACCTGCTCCAAGTTCAGGATGCTCTTCGAGAAGCGGGGCCATTTTCCCGGGACTTTGAGCAAGCAATAGCAGACGATGACCAGGACGTCAATGGTTTGGGACGACGCTTCTCCCTTGATCCAACCGGAAATATCCGCCAGGCTCGTACATTCAGCCGTACGCATCAAGATATTGCAAACATGTCTAGGGATTCGTCAATTTCAGCTAGATCAACTTCTCCGCCCAATTCGGTCGAAGCTTTTGCAGACCCACGACGCCGGGAGCGTGCCAACACTCTGGAGAGCCATGCAGCGCCAGACTTGGAAGCTATCCTACAGCGTACGGTGTCTGGTGGCACGCATCCTCGCCGCCCAACCTTCAGTAATTCAAGTGCCATTAGACCTCAACCAGGCGATATCCAATTGGATTCACCTGAGGATACATGCGTCCCCCCCTTTGAACAACTGGGCAGAATTCCGGTGATTGACTATGAAGAATTGGAGGAGTTTGTGGCCCTTAATCAGAAGACAAAGCCTGTTACAATGCGGCGTAAGCACAGTCTTAGCTCTCAGAGCAAGAAGTCTCGTGTTTTTTACGATCTTCGCCCACATGCTCAGAATTCTGAAGTCCATGACGCGAAGCACTCATCGGATGACTTTACCGGACTCGACTTAAAAGACAGCGAGAAAGTCTTCACGGATGCTGTCAACGAAAAAGAAATAGTCGACAATCTCAAGAATGAGAATGAGCCGACTCGGTTCGGCTTTTTCTCGTCCGAGTCACAGAGTACTGTACATGCTGCAGAACTGGGCGACTTGGTTCTTCCTGGGGATACCTTTCGAGACCTCTTCCAACTTGGCCCGGAAGGAGGTGTCTGGTGGCTCGATGTTTTGAATCCCACTGAAGCCGAAGTTGGTGCTCTTTCGAGAGCCTTTTCAATTCACCCACTGACAACAGAAGATATATTAACCCAGGAGGCTCGAGAGAAAGTTGAGCTATTCAAGCAATACTATTTTGTGTGCTTCCGGACGTTTTACCAGATGGATAAGACAAGCGAGCGTTTCATGGAGCCCGTTAACTTCTACATGATTGTCTTCCGCGATGGTGTTTTATCGTTCTCTTTTACCGAGAATCCCCATGCTTCGAATGTCCGGAGAAGAATCGGAAAGCTCCGTGACTATGTGTCACTTAGTAGTGACTGGATTTGCTATGCCATGATGTAAGCACACCCTTGTCCGCCTTTCCTTCCTATTAAGCCCATGCATGTTACCTATGGCCATCTAGCTACCTGTATGTGAAATCCTAATGTATGGCGCAGTGACGATATTGTGGATAGTTTTGGCCCTGTAATCCGCGAAATTGAGGTCGAGTCTGAGGCGATTGAAGATCTCGTCTTTATTGCACGTATGGACGATTTCGAGTCATTTTTGCCACGAATTGGTGGCTTACGCAAAAAGGTCATGAGCTTAATGCGTCTTTTGGGTGGCAAGGCGGATGTTATTCGAGGTTTCTCTAAACGCTGCAACGAGCAGTATTCAGTAACGCCGCGTGGTGACATTGGCCTTTACCTAGGAGATATCCAGGATCACGTAGTGACCATGATGTCTAACTTGGCCCATTTCGAGAAGATGCTCAGCAGATCACACACCAACTATCTTGCGCAGCTGAACGTCACAAACCTAGTGTTGGGAAACCACGTCAACAAGATCCTCAGCAAGGTGACCCTCATTGCCACCATGTTAGTTCCTATGAACCTTATTTGTGGTCTGTTCGGCATGAACGTCACGGTTCCTGGTCAAGGCCAGGAAGGTCTTGCGTGGTTTTTTGGCATCGTCGGCGTTATCGCGGCGGTAGTCATTATTAGCGGCATTGCTGCTCGCTGCTATAAGCTTGTATAAGGTTTAAGTTTGGCTTTGCCTAGTCAGAATCTTGTGGGCTGTCAAAAATAGTATTCACATGCGTATATAGATTTCTAAATTCATTACATACCCATGACAAATTCTTGGGAATAATATAAAAATCTCCTTAGCTTCTCGGGAACCCCGAAGGTGGCTGCTGTGGCTGGCTGGCTGATGTGGCGCAGTCCAGCCACTCGAAGTCCGGAGGCAGAAGAAGGCCTCCATACATACGGGAAGCCAGAATGAGCCCAATGCTGTCAAGCGCAAGTACTTTGTATATAAAATCTAGCTTATGAATGAGCTTGAATTTGTTCGTGGATGACGTTCCCCCTTGCTATCTTTCCCAGTTTTCGCTTACGACTCGGTAGACCTCGGCTGTGAGAGGAAGTCGTCGTCTCGTCTTTATTAAGCCTTCCTTGACTCCTCCTCTTTCCCTTCTTCCTTTTATATTACCCGACCCAGAGCCGAATATCTACTGAACTGTCCATGCGACCTAAGCTCGCACCTTGGTTGTGCTGTTTTGCTCCACGCATCAGCGCAATTATTCATTACTACATAATCTCTCTGGCTCTCTGGACTACAGGTTTAGGCTATGCTGCAGATCTCACTTCTCGGGCCCCTGAAATCCATAGTAACTTGACCATCAATGACGGTGACTCACATTTCCCCTTCCCATTGGGGTCTTACAATGGTCTAGTGATTGAAGACGATGTGGACGACGCTGGAGATCTACGAGGTCTAGATATTGTCAGCAGGGCCCCTACTGGGGTCTTATCCCTAGGCAATAATCAATACCAAAAGGGCGAAGTTAAATTAGGTGAAACCCAGTGGTGGTACTTCTCAAAGAATTCTGTAAATGGCAAAAATACCAATAAGATATCCGAGGAACCAAATAGCGACAAATCGAAGCATTTGGAAACGGTCTTCATATCTCTAACAGCATGCTCGAAGCCTAGCTCCAATAAAGCCGATTCTAACAGTGCTCGGAACCTACCACATCTAGAGGTCTACGTCTCTACATCTGAATCGGTTCAAAAGCCTGGTCCTGGGCAAGAGAGGTCGAATCAAACTAAATACATGGTCGAAGAGGGATATATGGGCACCACCGCGGAAGTAGAAGGGGATGTTTATATCGGCGTTGTTGCACATAACAGCACAGAACATTCTGGGTCCTACAGCTATGAGCTTGCGGCATCAGTTGATGCTTTTTTCCACAGCCTCGCGGACGATCCGGCTTTCCTGTACTTTGTGGATTCGGACATGCACAGTGCTCTCTTCACCACGGGCAACCTAACGGAGGCAGAACAGGGCTCTCAGAGCTACAGCAACTGGATGGGCATGGCGCCGTCGTACACAATGTTTGCGAATAACATTAACGATACAGCCATCTCAGGTTTACACCATTCCTCTTGTGCGCTCGATCGATTCGCTCAAATAGGCAAAGGTGATCATAACATCAAAGCAAGCATGACAAGCAGAGGACCCGGCAATAAACCCAAGGAACAGTTATATGTCACCGGGCTCAACCAAAGTTCGACATATGAAGGGATTCTAGCGCTGAATGGCAATTCTACTGGTTCTAGAAACGGCGTTATTGGCGGCGGTGGGAAAGTATGGAAACCTATCACCTTCTCTACCAAAGCAGGTAATTAATCTCCTTTCGACATAATCTGGGGTGTTAAGGTTACTGACAGAGAAAGATCGTAATTGTGCGCTCCTCTACAACCTGTCATTTTGCAATGAAGTGGCATATGCGGTGCCTTCGAACCCGACTTTTACCTTAGACAGCCTCCGTTCAATCTACGATGATAATGCCGCTGCACTCTATAAGAACTTTTCTTACTCTTTGGAGCAGATCCAATGTAATGCTACAAATGAGACTCGATTTTCTTTGGCGGTGGGATGCGATGACTGTGCCAGAGCATACAAGCAGTGGTTATGCGCCGTAACCATCCCTCGGTGCGAGGACTTTTCAAGCACTGGCACATTTCTCCAGGCCAGAAACGCTGGACAGGAGTTCATCAACGGAACGTCGCTCAGTGACGACCACACACTGCGGTTGGATCCCTCGACGAATCGGTCCCGAAATTTGCTGATCGACAAAGAGATCCGACCAGGACCCTACAAGGAGATTCTTCCCTGCGAGGACACCTGTTACAATCTCGTCAAGAGCTGTCCCGCTGCTCTGGACTTTAGCTGCCCGCAGGGCAGATGGCTCTCTTCTACGTACGGAAAACGCGGCCCCGACGACCTTGTCACCTGCAGTTGGGTAGGCGCGGCGTACTTCATGGGCGGTGGAGTTAGGATAATTCCTTTGCGGTCGGTTTTATTTGTAGTTCTAACTGTTTGGCTTTCGTATTGGGCATTTGACGGTTAGTGAACTAGTACTATGTATGTATAGCGTGGGCCATTAACCTTTCTCAATCGGTACCTCGCCATTTTGGTCAATTCTATTAAGTTACTTGTGAGTGTCACGTCATATGTCTGTGTAACCAGATCCCTTGGCCAATATAATTCTTTCTGTTTACAGCTGCTTTTTTCGGTGTCACACTGTCTATATTCAACTAGACATAGTATCTTCAGACTAGGAAAGAGAGTGGAGTGGATAACTCGGACGATAGCTCGGAAGCGTTTATAGATAGGGTACGAAAAAAAACAACTTCTTAGGTTATGGCTACCTAAACTTCATTAAGTAGAATATCTTCTCACAACCTAAGCAGTATAGGAGCAGGAAATAACGCCGGGTCCACCATGGTATCTATTGAAGCGCCATTAGTCAAGAGATCATATGTAACAACTTTCCAACAGGGAATTTGTATCTATTTGGCTCTTCGTGGAGTCGGAGTCCACACATTCTTCAGGTTCGATGAAGACGACTCTGTCAGCCGAGGAGTGTTCCCCATACGATGTAATAGTTTTTGTGCCGCTGGAGTCAACAACTTGCTTGACCCACCCCCTCCCACTGTTGCTCTGTCAGGCATGCGTAGTCCAAAGTCTAGCCGAGGGCTACTGGCGAACCGCGGCGTCATGGTAACCGGGGATTTAGTCTCTTGCGCAACTTTCTCCGCTCGTTTCTTTCTCGCAACGTGGTCTACTACACGATGGTGTAGATCTTCGCGCCTTCGGTTCTCCCTTATTTTAAACGGATTCGGGGTTTTATCACTTGTCCCCAACAACCGAAGGTCCTCTACAAAGTCCGCATGACTGTCTTTCGAGACGATATTTGTTGGGTACTTTGGTTCATCTGCATCCACGAAGGCGTATCCATTCACTCGTGGCGTCTCATTCCCACTATAGCCCGCATCTGAATCACTAGGCCGGGGGCGTCCGGCAATAGCATCTTTAATAGCAGAAATCGATGGAGAGGGCGGAAGCGCACCTCCATCTTGTGCAGATTTCAGTCCCTCATCTGGTAATCGGGTATTCTGATACACCACTCGCTTAGGCCCTGCTCGTGAAGATGCTTCTGCGTTTTGCTGGAGCGTCTCGAGAGTGTCTTCAACAGACGAGGGCGTGAACATGAGAGAATTCTCCGATCTGGCCTTCCATGAGTCCGGTTTCGCGGGCCGAGAATCAAAGTCCTTCCTAGTGGCTAGTTGCTTGTCCTGATAGGGGTTGAGACCCTGTTCCTCGACCCGTTTTGCCTCCCGTTGATGGTGGGCAACCTGTCGCGCGGACGGGATCTTGTTGCCGCTCCAAATCCACGCATACTTTTCACGACATTTCGTATTCTGCTTATCTAGCAGCTTATTGAAGGATTCGTTATCTTCGCTGGTATACTTCGCTTGGAACTCGAGCAGCCCGAGATTGGACAGCCTGGGAGCATTATTATCTTTTAAATGCTGAGCCGGTGATGAAGAGGCCATGGGCATGATTGACATTGGCGTATCCCCACCCCAACCCGTAGGAGTATCCCCTACATGCCTTATTTTTGTGGGGTTGGTTGTTATTATGGGGCCCGACGGTTCAGAACAGTTCCGAGCTCTTTCTGGAGTCAACATCAGGTCGGTAAGTCTTCTCTTGGACGTAGCAATCCATTCTTTGTCCTTCGAGTCGAGTGCTTCGAGGTACTCTTGCTTCACTTGTACCTCCAGGAGTCCCGGGAAGTAATCTCGCGCAATGATGCCAGATAAGGTATTTGTATAGACGTCTTCATCGAGGACAGTAGTAGGTCGTTTGATGCGTTTCGGGGGGGGAGGGGGCATTAGATTGGTTTCGATATGGCGCTTAGCCAAAGCTTGCGACGAGGAAGACATTACAGCGAAGGGTAACCGAGAGCCTAGACAGACCAACGCAAAGGAATAGAATTTCGGTCAGCCGAAGAAACCTGTTAAGAGCACGATACTAGATGGGTGGATGGATGTGTAAGTGAACAGTAAGGAACAGCGAAAGAGCGGCAGAAAGGAGGGTGAGGCGGTGGGCGTTGATAAGCAAGTGACGACATTTCATGAATCAGCACACCCAAACTCTAGTCTCTCAAATCCTTAGGGTTCCATTATCTGGTCAAGTAACTTTTGGATATGACATATAGTATCCTATTGAAACAGGTACACGTATTTCTTCTTGAACATACAATAGTTTAGTCGATGACGCTTTCGCTTATTCACTGTCCACCAAAATCCGGACAGAAAACCCGCAGAGCAGCCCAGTAAACCACCCTCCTCTATGTGTACTTCTTATAACAAGACCAATCCGTATTTATCAAAAGATAAACTTGCTAAGCAATAAGGAAATGCAGAGAAAGCACGATGCCTGCAAATACCCAAATACAAAGTAAAGAACTTGCGAGCGAGTGCTATGCAACCAAAACCCATTCGCAGCCTTTTCCCAATTCTTCAGACCAGAAAACACCTTCCAGAGATTTTTGTTCATGTGGAAAAAGTAGCCGCTCAGAATGCAAAACGAAAATCTTGGGTAAATCGCAGACGAGAAAAGAATGAGTATAGAATGGCTAACAATTGCAGAAGGACAGACATATTGAAAGGAATAACAATGAAGAAAGGGAAATTTGCAGATAGAACAAGTGAAAAGTCATCATGTCGTTGAAGAGGTCTATCGGTGATTGGTATGGAAGTGTGAAGGAGCAAGGTGAAAGAGAAGAATATTATGTCCAAGTTCTACTTCGGGACTAGTCATGGTGCAACTACAGCACGTTAGCTGAAGTTGCGGAAGATGGAAAGAGCGAGTACGATGCTCTACCCTTTCGCCGATGCATTCCTCTGATAGGGACTTCAGCCTTGGCCGCCTCTACTTCAGATATGGATCTTGCCCGATCATGAATAGCAGGGCCCGGATTTGGTATGATCCCAGCAGATTCAAGAATCATACTGCCATCAGATCGAAAAGCGACCTGGGTCTCGATCTCTCTTGCTAGGCCTTTCGTTTGACGATGGTAAGAAGACGACTCTGGTTGTCCAGGCCCGGAGGGCAGAGAGTGATCACTTGAGGCGGTTTGGTCCATCGTGGACAACTCTCGGCTATTTGCCAAGCTGTGCACAAGCTCCGGAACACTAGTGGTCGAGACAGAAGAACGGTGCTTGCGGACGATTGATGCTGCACGGGATAAGATTAGGCTCTCTTCAGAGTTGCATTTGCTGATAGGGGAGAAACTACTCCGGGGAGAGACAGGCTGTTCCATGGGTTGGATCACTCCCTGTGAGCAGAAGGAGAAGTGCTGATCTGATTCAGCATCACCTGCCAGGTACTCCTCATATAGGATATCATGGGTCATGTGCTTTCCCAAGGTCGATGGAAACATCGAAGAACTGACTGGTTGGAAATAACCGTTGTTCCGCTGAGAGCCGCCTTCCTCAATTTCGTAACTTGCGGTGGATGGAGTTAATGAAACCTGCGCGCTAGGCAACAAACGAGGTGGGCTGGGCTCCAGATCCAATCCAGGAGCTGTGGACGTGCTCAAATTTGCAGCCGGGAGCAGGTGAGTTTTGTTGGCCCCATTCACCGGGTCGACCTGGGAACTCACGATGGAAACGTCATTTTCGTCCTGTTGTGGTTCATCGAACGAATTACGAGCCCAGTCGAAATTACAATTCGACTCTGCCGCATGCTCGTAGCAGTAGTCAATATCGGCATCCCAAGATTCATAGATGGTCTCATATGTTGCTTTTCGACGGATGGATGCTGTTCTCTTTACCAGTCCACCCAGTCTTTGGTCGTGTGGCGATGCCTCGGGCTGACGATATTGAGGGAGCGTAGGAGAACCAAGAGCCTCAGAAACCTTCTTCGACAATTCTTGACTCACGTATACGGATAGATTAGACTGAGGTCTGACTACAGAGGTGCTCTGCAGCTCAGTTCGAGGTGAGCTTAGCCGAGACTGGGAGCACGAGTTGGTTTTTTCCATAGCAAACACCAAAGTTTCCCTTGAATGGGTAGCCTCCTCTTCCTCTGGAAGGACATCAAGATCTGAGGACATATTGGTGAATGGCATAGACGAGGTTCTGAAATCAATCGTGTCTTTTTGAGCGTCGGGAATGATGGCCTGCCCAATGGTCGGTGGGAAGATGCTTTCAACATTCATATGGAGTAAGCGGCCTTCTTGGGCTTCGTCATCGCCGTTTGAGTAGACATGTTCCGGGTACGTTGATGGGGACGACAGACCCAATATCTCATCAATGGCACGAGGAGCTGGTTCAGATATTTCGGGAGATGCCGCCAACCCGGGCGGCGTAGTTGCACCGGCTCTGGGATACGGCCGAGAAAAGTTCTCACAGACTCGTGACTCCCTTCTTAGCCTATCATCTTGCTGCTTGGGGCTCGTTGCGGACGACGACGTTCCTGGCGACCCAGGAGGGCTAATCGGAGCAGGAACATCTTGGTCCCTTGCAGTACCCGTCCCACAATTGGCGAGGTTCTCGGACGAGAAGTCACGAAAATGAAGATCTTCTGCACGGATACCCTTAAGTCCTGTGACAGGCCTTTGAGAGGCACGGATGGCGGAGAATTCAGTGACTAGGTCATTTTCCCGGGCCCTGTCCATTGCCTGGAAATGCGATGGACTCGTATGAGTTAGGTGGTGGAAGTCAAAGGGATCCGAGATAAGGTTTTTCAATTGTTCATCTGCAACATATCAGTGATGAATACCAGATTGTGCCATTCGCGTAAAGGTGCGCTTACGAGCATCACTCTGCCGCGACCTGTGGTGACGGCTGAAGAGGTCTGAGACCTCAAACCGGGATTTCTCGCGCTCCATTTCATCCTCTTCATCCAGTGTGGCAACGATGTTGAATTTACTTCCCTGGCGACGGAGGATACGGCTCCCACGTGAGAGAAGTGATTTGGTCATACTCTCCTGTCGCTCTGAGCGGACACCAGCCGAACTAGTTCGTTCATCTTGAGATGAGGGCAGAGAGGCAGCAT